GTGCTCATTTCTGATTGGCGACGTCGTATGAGTCGTCGTGTCCTTTCGTCAACTTTGTGATTTCAGTAATAAGGCTAAAATAGATCTTATCGACATCGTTGGGAAACTGTTACTCATGTGCATATCCACTGTTATCTAAATTTAAATATCTGTATGGAATTCGTAGAAAAACAAACAAGAGGATAGTTTGTCAGCTTAATGTGGGAGGTTGGTTTGGTTGGTTTGTTGTTTTACGCCGCACTCACCAATATTCAAGCTATATGACGGCGGTCTGTAAAAAATCGAGTCTGTAAATAATCGAATCTGGACCAGACAATCCAGTGATTAATATCATGAGCATCGATCCACGCAATTGGGATCGACAACATGCATCAACCAAGTCAGCGAGCCTGACCACCCGATCCCGTTAGTCGCCTTTTACGACAAGCATAGTCGCCTTCTACGGCAAGCATGGGTTGCTGAAGACCTATTCTACCCCGGATCTTCACGGGTCTCATGTGTGAATATGGGAAGAAAGAGATGCAGGTCTCAGACGTTTACCACTTCGCTGAAAAGATCACGGGTATGGTGCTGGCAAATCTAGAAACAATCTCGGCGAACCGGGATTCGAACTCAAAACCCGAACCCCAAATAAAGGTTTTCTTCACAATGAATTGCGGACCGGGCCATCAGTGCCCCTCTTACGTCAAAGACAGGCAAACACATATTGTGTATATGGAGAACAGTTTGTTTTCCATTTCGAACTTTGGCACTCTAGCTCTGAGCTATTTCGATGTCATGGTTCTTTACAAAGCCTATTGCTACACACGGCTCTGTGTAAACATTTTTTGGTTTCATGACAATACTGTTTTCAGATCAGCCTAGAAAAAAATCCAAACAGGCACTGTTTGTTGTTGTCATGGGAAAACTGTTTGAATAATACACAAGAAGCCGTTTCAACAAAAGAACTGTTATGCCGCCAGATACTTTAGTTGACGTTCGTGTTTATAGATTAGGTTTTAAGTATGCAGGTTGAATATAACTGAAGTAAATTTCTGAAAGAGAACCACCATGAGTAGCGGTCCATGAGTACGAAAGGAATATATCACTATACAATATGTTCAGCAAGATGACAATGAGTGATTTGAGATTCACGTTAAGATGCTTTAAGAACTTGGTTACATGTAGGTTCTTGAGTTTGAGATGTTGTTAAGAGGCGATGGGATAGCTTTGTGGTTAAAGCATTCGCTCGTGACGCGAGTGAATCGCATTAAGTACACACTTTGTGTTCCAGTGTGGGGGCTGCGGTTGGGGGGTTGGGGGGTGGGGGGTGCAGCCCTCTTCCAGGCTATATGATTTCTTGGTCTGAAATAAAGCATATGTATGGAGAAGTGATCTGGATGAAGTAATTAATTTTCGAAAGAGGGGGGGGTCCTTTATATAAGATAGGTACGCAAAGAACAATGAAGGCCGAAACATGGTTTATTTCACGATAAGAAATTGTTGTAGATTGGACACGTTATTTTTGAGACGGAAGTGTCTAGTGAGTTCCTGTCCACATATGTAGCTGGGCAACACAGAAAAACGCAATGGCCCAACGATCTCAGCCGTAAGTGGGCGAGATATGGCAATCTGTATTAGGGTGAACGATACATATAATTGCTGTGAGAATTGTAAGAATATCCGTGAAATACCAAACATAGCTCCCCTGTTCATAAAATGGATTTGTCGTCTGATTGTATTCAGGGAATCATCATTATTATAATACTGGTAAATATTTTTAAAAGCGTGTACTTTTTACTAAACGTCCTAAAAGAGTCTGCATATAAATGTTATTATATCAGAACAAATAAACGACTCGTGGTCGTTGTTTATCGTACAGAACAACATTGCAGGGAGAATTAACCACTCGGGGCTGCGCCTTTCATAGTTGACTCTCGCTGCAGTATGATAAACAACGATCAAGAGTAGTTTAAAAAAAATAAAATACTATATACCTTCAGAAAGAAATTTCACATCACTGGTCCAAGATAGTAGAGGCTGGTCTTCTCAGTGTTTACCGTCAACATCGTTTTTTTGGTTATAATTGGCAACATAATCTATCGAACGTGGTAAATTTACATGGGTTTCTAATAGAAGTGAGTGAGTTGTGTTACACAGTATTCCAGTTACATCACGGCGTGTCAGCTTAATGTGGGAGGAAAGCCCGAAGTGATGCAGGTCTCGGACGTTTACCACTTTGGTGAAAGCCACGAGCATGGGTATGGCGCTGACAAACCTAGGAACATAATCGGGGCGAACCGGGATTTGAACCCAAAATCATAGGTTTCTGGCTTGTCCAAGGGACCCAACTCTGCACATCGAATAGCGGCACCTTAGACGACTGGGCCATTTGTGACTCATTCTGCGAGAAGAACGGATCACCCGTGTACAGAACGAGACATTTTTGATACAATGTTAGGTTATCAGTGATATGCTCAAGTTGTAATCACTACAAAGTTTTTGATGAAAAAATATTTCTAAGTCGTTCAGAAATGTTGAAAGCAGAAGTGGGGACAAAATTTCTTTTTTCCTTACCATAGAAAAATGTGATATATCGTCTTGAACCATAACAGGATTTAACATCTTTGTACATGTTTTGTGTCAAAGTGAATATTGTTCCTTCCACTCAAGTATTTCTCAATTTCATGCGAAGACCAGCTCTTCATACCTGGTCCAGTGCACAGAAGTGTCGACATATAACCCAGCCCGACCCGTGAAGATTCGGGTTAGAATGGGTCTTCGGCAACCCATGCTTGCCGTGAAAGGTGACTATGCTTGTGGTAAAATGCGACTAACAGGATCGGGTGGTCAGGTTCGCTGACTTGGTTGATGCATGTCATCGATACCAATTGCGTGGAACGATGCTCATGATATCAACCACTGGATTGTCTGGTCCAGACTCGATTATTTACAGACCGCCGTCATATAGCGGGAATATTGCTGAATGTGGCGTTAAACAACAAACAAGCAAACATAATTCAGCCTCCCTCTCTGTCTGACTTTGATCAGTCGTAGCGGATTTCATGAAAAAGTGACATGTTTGTTCCATTGATTACAAGTGAGTGATTTAACGTCGTATCTGCATTATTTCAGCCATATAGCGACGAGTGAGTGAGTGAGTCTCGTCGGCAATATTTCAGCCACATCGTGACGAGAGTTTAAATAAAAACCTGTCATCGATGGATGGGAGACCCGTGAAGATCTCTGGTAGAATAGGTCTTCAGCAACCCAGGTAAATCGCAGGATTGTCTGATCCAGAGTGGACTAATAACAGACCGCCGTCATATAGCTGGAATGTTGCTGAGTGCGGCGTAACACAACAAACCAAACTAAATGTCATCGATGGACAGTAAAATAACTAGAATATCCCAGGTTGTTTTTTTGAAACTAGCATACAACCATAAAAATATATCACTATATGTAACTGTACAATATCAAAAAAGGGCTATAGATCGCCAGCAACTGAAGGTAGGCCACATACTTGGCGACTTACAGAAACTGAGCTAGCTGCATTGACCCCAGCAGGATTTCCATCATCCCTTCAGTTGTTGGCGATTATTGACAAATTTAGCCAAAGTTAAATGAACATATATTCTACGATTAAAATTGTGGTGGAGAAAAACTGGTCTTACATTGATTACAAAGTTTACTGTACAATAACAAAGAGAGTTAGGTTGAAAGTGGGATGGAAATATTTATGAAACAAAAGCAAAGGCTAATCGCTGTGTTCTTTACATGACAGAATCTGCTCGTTGAGACTCTTAAATACACATCCTTAACCTTGCTCATTATTTCGTACGTGATGGCTTGTTCCAGGTTAACGTACCAACTATGTACGGTAATTACTGCAGTATATGCAAAGTTCGTTGTGCTGGTTTGTGTCCCGCACTGTTCAAGTATCAGCTGATCGTAAGTTTGTCAACAACATATCAACAATATTGGTAAATGTCAAGGAAATGTACGGAAGCGTAGTAGGACCACGGCGGATCTTTTTTTGTCTAAGAATCTCCTACGTAGGACTTAGGATCTTCTACGTAGGACTTAGTATCTCCCACGTCGGACTAAGTATCTCCTACGTAGGAGATAGTAATTCCTACGTAAGAGATACTAAGTCCTACGTAGGAGATACTAAGTCCTACGTAGGAGATACTAAGTCCTACGTAGGAGATTCTTAGACAAAAACAAATTCACTGTGGCCCTACTACGTCGGACTTAGTATATCCTACGTAGGAGATAGAAATTCCTACGTAAGAGATACTAAGTCCTACGTAGGAGATACTAAGTCCTACGTAGGAGATAATAAGTCCTACGTTGGAGATAGTAAGTCTTACGTGGGAGAGATTAAGTCCTACGTAGGAGATAGTAAGTCTTACGTGGGAGATACTAAGTCCTACATAGAAGATACTAAGTCCTAAGTAGAAGATACTAAGTCCTACGTAGGAGATACTTAGACAAAAATAAAATTCATCGTGGCCCCACTACGCATGCGTAGAAATGCGATGTTTCGGGCTTTCTTCCAATATTAGATGACATACCGTGAGAGAACTGAAATACTGCTCAGAACAACGGAAATTCGCAACGGTCTTATTAAGTTATTCATGAGATTTCCTGGTAGACATTCAGAAGGAATTTAAGAGCGTGTCAACATGGCGCGCGTTACTGTCCGATACTATGAGTTTTCACATTCCTGTACTCACTGGCGAAGATCCGGGGTAGAATACATCTTCAACAACCCATGCTTGCCGTAAAAGGCGACTGTGCTTGTAAGAGGTGACTAACGGGATCGGGTGGTCAGGCTCGCTGACTTGGTTGAAGCATGTCATCGTACCCAATTGCGTGGATCGATGCTCATGATGTCAATCACTGGATTGTCTGGTCCAGACTCGATTATTTACAGACCGCCGTCATATAGCTGTAAGACTGCTGAGTGCGGCGTTAGACAAGCAAACAAACCTTCACTAATTACTGTATGTGTTTCAGCATCAGCGGGGTGCACAGATGACTATTCTCTATGCAACTTCTGGAAAGGGATACACGAGTGCGTCCTCAATCCGAACTCCATGATGTGTTCCTGTGCTATGTCCTGCAACACCGCCTCCGAGTGCTCAGGTGATGATCTTCTTGTGCTATTATTGTGACTGGAAAGGGCGAGGTATGAGAAGGGCCAATTTTGAAATGTACAACCTTGACGGTTTTCTATGGCCATCTATTTTTCAATGTATTTGGCTCATAATGACATGGGGGCGGTCGGGTAGCCTAGTGGTTAAAGCGTTCGCTCGTCACGCCGAAGACCAAGGTTCGATTCCCGACATGGGTACAATGTGTGAAGCCCATTTCTGGTGTCCCCCGCCGTGATGTTGCTGGAATATTGCTAAAAGCGGCGTAAAACCATACTCACTCACTCATAATGTCATGGTTACTATCGTAGGTCCATGCCATTATAAGAACGGTTTAAACGTAGAATATTTGCCGTTATAATTTTTGGCTAAAATACTAACTGTCGCCAGCGACAAAGGAAACCCTGCTGGTGCACCATGTAGCAAGTCCCGAGATCCAGGGTAGAATAGGACTTCAGCAACCCATGCTTGCCGTGAAAGGCGACTATGCTCGTCGTAAGAGGCAACTAACGGGATCGGGTGGTCAGGCTCGCTGATTTGGTGATGCATGTCATCGTATCCCAATCGCGTGGATCTATGCTCATGATATGAATCACTTGATTGTCTGTCACAGACTCGATTATTTACAAACCGCCATCATACAGCCGGAATATTGCCGAGGGCGGCGTTATACAACAAACAATCAATCATGTTCGAAACCGTTAGTCACCTCTTACGACAAGCATAAATAAAATCTCTAATGCACTTCTCTCATGCTACCTATTATAATTCGCTCGTAGTATGTTTCTAGGATTTGTTTGTACCAGACTCGTGATCGGGGTTTCACAAAAGTGACAAACGTCTAAGGCTTGTATCATTTTGGTCTTTCCCTTTATATCAAGCTAACATTTCATGTTATAACTAAATTACTGTTCAAAGCAGCGTTGGGCACACAGACGACCACTTCGTCTAAGGCACCCTAATTCGCTGTGCAGGGTTGCGTCCCTTGGGCATGCCAGAAACCGATGATTGTTCAAATATCGATTCGCCCCGATTATGATTTTAGGTATGTCAACACAATACCCGTGTTCATGGGTTTCACCAAAGTGGTAAACGTCTAAGACCTGCATCACTTCGCGCTTTAAATACGACATTAAGCTGACACGCCGTGATGTAAATGGAATACTGTTCAAAGCGGCGTTGAACCCATCTCCCTCGCTCACTGAATGAACAGAAAAAATGAAAAACAGGAGAATCATATGTATCGTTGTTAAGGGCTCAATATTTCAAATAATCCACGTTAACATGTTCTTAACAAAATATTTTTGACAGAATATTCGCTTTGAACCCCACTATAGTATAAACATCATCGCACCATGCATGAAAAAAGCAAAACACGCGTCCGACCTTGCTGCACTTTTAGCAGCAATAGAGGAAATACTCCACGTGCAGCAGCGACTCACACAGTAAAAAAAACCGATTTCGGGAATGTTGTGTAAATTTTCGAGAAGGTCCTCGCCTCCGTATGTTGCTGAAAATGGTATGAAGCCTCGGCCCTTCGGGTGTTGTACTTACAATCGCGATTACCGTATTCGACGTAATAAGCGCCTCGCTTTAATAAGCGCCCACGGCGATATTTGCTAATATATTGGTTAGTGAACTATCCCAATTAGCACCCCTTCCGATTGATCAATGTACAAAAGACTTATTTATTCGCGTATAATACGCACTCGTGTGTTATATACACCCTTAATTATGGGCAATTAAATTCTGGAAAAAAATATATCTGTCGCATATAAACGTTTCAGGTTGTCAGCATAAACCACGAAATTTATCTTTCAACTCTCTTTTTTTCACCAAAATTATATTCTAATAAGAGCCCCCTATTTCTAATTTTGAGAGCGCCCTGGGCGCTTATTACGTCGAATACGGTACTTGTTGAATCACTTCAGCGGCACTTAGTTACTGAAGTTACCACACTATGTGTTGTATGCATGCCTTTCTGAGCCAGTTATTTCAAAGAACATCATGACCTATAGTGTTGATTGGCATTCAGCTGCAGGTGAAGGTGCTGACACACACTGCCAGTGTTCCTTCAATGCATCGAGGGGATTCTGTGAGACCAAAGACCTAGCTACAACGTGTCCTCATACATGTTCGCTCAGACAGAGTAAGTGTCAACGTCATATGCCTCCACACCTGTTGTTCCCTCAGGGTAAGTGTCACCGTCATATGCTCCACAACTGTTGTTCAGTCAGAGTAAGTGTCACCGTCATATGCCTCCACACCTGTTGTTCAGTCAGAGTAAGTGTCACCGTCATATGCCTCCACACCTGTTGTTCCCTCAGAGTAAGTGTCACCGTCATATGCCTCCACACCTGTTGTTCCCTCAGAGTAAGTGTCACCGTCATATGCCACCACACCTGTTGTTCAATCAGAGCAAGTGTCACCGTCACGTGCCTCCACACCTGTTGTTCCCTCAGAGTAAGTGTCACCATCATATGCCTCCACACCTGTTGTTCCCTAAGACACAGTAAGTGTTACCTTCATATGCCTCCACACCTGTTGTTCCATCAGAGTAAGTGTCACCGCCATATGCATCCACACATATTGTTCCCTAAGACATAGTAAGTGTTACCGTCATGTGCCTCCACACCTGTTGTTCCATCAGAGTAAGTGTCACCGCCATATGCATCCACACATATTGTTCCCTAAGACACAGTAAGTGTCACCGTCATATGCCTCCACACCGGTTGTTCCCTCAGAGTAAGTGTCACCGTCATGTGCCTCCACACCTGTTGTTCCATCAGAGTAAGTGTCACCGCCATATGCATCCACACATATTGTTCCCTAAGACACAGTAAGTGTCACCGTCGTATGCCTCCATAGCTCGTGTTCAGAGTAAATGTACACCCTTTCTCAGTTACATCCATTGAGTTACCATTTAAAAAAGGTGTTTGACAATATAATTGTTATTTATGACCCTCTAATGGAAACTTTGTAAGATTGTTGATTTTTATAAATTGATAACATGTTAAAATCATGAAACACTTTTCCTATGATATTCATAAAAAACTTTTTTTGCTTAATTGTATAGGTTTCTAAATATAGCAGAATGATGAAAAAGAGCATAATAACAGTTATTCTTCACTTTGACCATACTGAATATATACTAGTTATTACATGTTTACAAGGGTCACGGCTGACCCAGTCGATTAAGGCGCCGCAATTCACCATGCATAGATGCGTCCCTTGGGCACGCCAAGTCCTATTATTGTGGGTTCGATCCTCCTTTTGACCCAACTTCGTTTCTGAATTTGTCTGCTACATCTTCGTGCTCACGGGTTTCAACTAAGTGGTCACCGTTAGATAACTGGAATACTGTTAAAAGCGTCGTTAAACCCAGTCACTCACTCGCTCACATGTGTTCAATACATTTTACAGCTGTCACGTGCCCCCCTCATGAACCCTATCCAAACGCTATACCTGTTGGTCGGCGGAGATACCTTGATCGAGTGACGTACATATGTCGCCATGGATACCGTAACGATGGAGACGTCGGGCTTCGGGTGTGTGACGCATCAGGGATATGGAGGGAAGAGGGTCAACCACCGATTTGTACTTATGGTGAGTAGCCGCACGTTTCCAACCGATTGTAGAATGGAAAAGGAATACTTCGACACTCTCTTTTATCAGGTCACGAAGTCTAGCTTACCCCCCCCCCCCCCCCCCCACACGGGTGGGGTGGGTGTGGGGTGGGTGTGGGTGTGGGGTGGGGTTAGGTGTATGTATTAACCGAGGGCTGAAGAGGTGCCTTTTGCTGTCAAGGTATTGTTCAGAAATGTGTTTGTTTTTTCTGTTTCCATGGAAACACGGGAGAATCAAGGGCTGATGTGATGTTTTTTCTATTTAGAGGGAAGAAGTTTGACCTTGACTCTTCATCGTGGCGTGTTTGAACGGACCATATCTCTAAAACTAATTGGTATTCTTTCATGACACTTTGCACACAAAAAGACCCTGTTGTCAATGGTTCCTTTTGCTACTTAGGGGTGTCTAGAATTTATATTTTTTCCATTTTCATGACAACAAGTTTGACTTTGACTGTTCATAGTGGTGTGTTTGTCCGGACCATCTCTCTAAACCTAATAGGTACTCTTTCTTGAAACTGTGCCATCACAAAGACGAGGTTGCCAGCAGCTGATGCCTTTTGCTATTAAGGGACTTTTAAAATCTACATTTTTACTGTTTCCACAGCAAAATGTTTGACTTTGACTCTGTTCATAGTGGTGTGCGACTGACATAGAAATACAAAGTTCCGAATCCCAAATCCATGGTCTTTAATGCTCAATAACTGCTCTTCTGTACGGACAGACAGATTAGATAGAAATTGTCTCATCAAGTTGGACTTTAAGTAACAGTCAGATGATTTTTTCTTTCTCGAATTTGTGGGGGCCGAGGGGATTAGTCATCTTCTGATGACGCTTGTTGTAATCTATAAACGTTTGACACATCCGCGTATAATTCATATCCATGTTTGGACGCTGATTGGTATGCACCCATGAGATGTATCACAATATCAAACTGACAAGATAAATTAAATTTACCAGTATGCACATATATGTTGCTCCTTTCATTAATTTGTAAAATGTATAATTGAAAACGTGAGTTATCAATATCAAGTGAATGTGTTTTGTGAGTGAGATGGGTTTACCGCCACCGTGATCTAGTGGATCTGCCCGGAGAACGGAACGTTTGGTGTCATACCAAAAAGACGATAAAAGTTGGTACTTGTTGTTACCTTGCCTGGCGCTCGGCATTAGTGTGGTAAAACAAGGACTGGTCGGCACAGAGTCAGTATACTGAGTTGAGTGGGGTATTCATGTGAATCTACGGCATGGCATCTCAGTGGGCTAGCACTATAAGACCGACATTAGTCAGGACAAGCATGCATGTCGCTATATAAGTGCAATAATCGTAGACGCGACGGTAAACCCAGTTTCACCTCGCCTGACCTAAATATACTATTCAAAAAAAGAGAAGCATAACCCGTATTTGCTGAGAAAATGGTGTATATTCAAACATGAATAACTTGGTAGGAAATGAACTTGAGTACATGAAATTTTACATCCGTTTAGGAGAGATCAATGTCTATACAATCATGTCCATAACTTGAGTTTAGGCATTCACAATATTCCTCAGACGTGAATGGAGTATCAATATCTGTTGTGCCCACTACGTGCACTAATAGCAGCTCTCACACGCCTTTTCATGGACTGGATGAGACGCTGAATAACGGCCTGGGGAATCCTCCGCCACTCCTCCTGCAGAAATGCAGCTAGTGCCTGGAGAGTTTGGGGTTGATGTTGACGCTGACGGCGATCAAGTTCATCCCCCAGTTGCGCTATTGGGTTAAGATCCGGGGAACGGGACGGCCAGGGGAGCGCGTTGACTTTCTTAGCAGCGAGAAAGGTCTTTGTGACACGTGCCGTGTGGGGCCGGGCGTTGTCCTGCTGGAAACTCTCACGTTGGACGTCAATGGCTGGCAGGAGGTGTGGTAGCAGGATGGTGTCTCTGTAGTGTACAGCCTACAGCTTTCCCTGCACGTGGACAAGATCGGTACGATCAGTGTAGTATATTGCCGCCCACATCATCACACTCCCTCCACCAAATCTGTCCACTTGACGCACGCAGTTAGGGCCATAACGTTCATGATTCACGTCTGTAGACCCGGTTCCTACCACAACGTCTCTGCAACAGGAATCTGGACTCATCGTTAAACCAAATGCGTCGCCAGTTGCGAAGGTTCCAGGCAGTCACGTTGTTACACCAACGGAGACGATGAGCACGATGGTGACGACGTAGCACGTTCCCGACGTAGGGTCTCCTGGCTCTCAGTCCATGTTCTCTCAGCCTGTTTCGTACAGTCTGGCCTGATACCCTCCTAAGTCCTGGCACCCTGGCTGCAGTGCTCTCATCCGTAGCAGTACGGTCACGCAAATGGAGGACCCGGATGTAGCGATCCTGGGCTGGTGTGGTGACTCTAGGTCTTCCTGTACGGGGACGGTCATTTGTTGTGCCTGTTTGGTTGTAGCGAGCTGCAAGCCGTGAAATTGTGCTTTGGCTAACATTCAGACGTCGGGCAACAGAAGATTGGGACTCTCCAGCCTGCAGTCTTCCAATTGCGATGTTCCTTGTGGCAGCATCAAGACGCGGCATGTTCATTTGGCTTGGAAACACCTTCTGAACGAATGCCTATTTCCGAAAGCAAGCTTGTTTTTTAATGCCAAACACTGCATGCTTTTCCTGCTCAATGTCAACGTGCAAGATGCCACTTGTTACGTCGTGGCGATGCATTTCTTACTCATTCTAAAAAAATCACATCAAAGGCAACATTTTCAAGCCAAATGGATTTGTTGCAAACTGAATGTGTCAATTGATGCTCTTACCAATATTTATACATATTTTGACGATAATATGAATACAAAAGGTATTACTTTCGTTTTGACATATCAGTAACACCTATGCGTTTCTTTTTGGATAGTATATATCACTGGCACTGATGCTCCAATTTACAGATTCAAGTCTCCTGGTACCTTGCCCGGTTCAAGTGAAAGCATTTTTTTCTCGTTGGTCTACGTCAGTGGACAGAGTTGGGATCCTGGACTCGGCTCAAGACACCAACCTCTTGGAGTGCTCGGACATGTGCTTGAGGGTGCCGGGGTGTTCATACCTTGCCCATGATCAAGTCACTAGGAAGTGCTTTCTTTATTACAACGTTGTTCGAAGCGGGTTCAAAACAGCCGAGGGTGGAAGCGTGTGGAAAAAAGTGTTTCATGTTCTGCCAGTTACATACTACAGTTAAACCAGCTCTACCCTCCAAAATGAGTGGGGCTGTTCAAAAACAGCAGTGAGTGGATTAGGTTAAACGTCGCTTTGAACAGTATTCCAGTCATATCACGGCGTGCTGTGATGCAGATCTTAGACGTTAATCTCTTGGGGGAAATCCTTGAGCACATAAACCAAGAAATCGGGCCAACCGGGATTCGAACGCACGATCAAAGGTTTCTGGCGTGCACAAGGAACACAACTTTGCACAGCGAATTGCGGCGCCTTATATTAGATGCCCCTCGAAAATACCATATAATTACAGAAATACAAAGAGGTTTCAAGTGATGGTTATGGATGGATATGAGAGAAGAAGGACTCGGTTTGACATGGCAATCAGTTGAACATGTGTATTGTAAGGCTGTAAGCAACCACGAAAGACGACAGGGGCGTGTAGTCAAGAATAAAACGTTTGAGATGACTCGATCAATAATGGAGCATGCTCAAAGATTGGTACGGGATCGGGTGGTCAGGCCCGCTGACTTGGTTGATACATGTCATCGTATGCCAATTACGTGGATCGATGCTCATGATGTCAAGCACTGGATTGTCTGGTCCAGACTCGACTATTTACAGACCGCCTTCATATAGCTGGAATATTGCTGGGTGCGTCTTCGAGTGAAGAGGGGAGAGTCTAATATTTACATAGACTCTCCCCACTTCACGAGATGAGATAAAAGTGGTATTTGAGAAAACACATTGAATTTTCTATTTAATATATACATGTTTTATTTTTATTACTTGCAATTTATATATTTTTTTCGAAAACAGTTTCTGATAAATTACTAAGTTCTCCCTGTCGCCCCTTTACCACCGCGTATAAAGGGTTTTGCGAAAAGAATATAGTTCGTGAAGAAAATTAGCCCTGGTAATATATGTTATGCGAAATATTTTATTTCATATCGAGTATTAAGTTTCGTGGATATTTTTGTTTGTCATAATTAAACATTCCTGTTTAAAATGGATAACTCTTTAATGTTTTGATTCAGGAGAAAGTAGTTCCGGTATCAGTCACTAGTGACTGATAACTTGATCTATCGTCTCTGATAAGTTCCAGTATTTCATTCATATGTATAATTTATTATAATAAATAATACCCATAAAAAATCCCATCGCCCTGACCCCCAACACTCATCCTCCCAGCACAATATAAAAAGGCCAGTCCCTAAGTACATCAACGGACGAGTCATTAGTAGCAACTCTATCCTTTATTATATTATGTTTACTATGTGTTTCTTTAAACCAATTTTAGAGAATCATGCCAAACACAATACAGTGTCCTCACGACATTGTGCAGAGCAAATTAGGTCTGTGTTTGCTAAACATTCGAAAATAAGGCATAGCTCAACTTTGATTGTGTATGTAAACGTCAACGCCAAAGGATAACTAGACAAAATATTAGTTTACATAACACATTATATGAATGGATCACTGAAAAGCAAGTGTTCGAGGAAAGGGAAAGTTTGTCTTACCCTTCCGATAAAAGCAGACTTGTTGGTTGAGATAACAAAGCGAATGTCTTTCAAGTACATTAATTAGTAGAAACCATTGATTGCATTACGGGCAATTCTGTTGCTCTTTTAACATATTTCGTGATTCATCACTAAAACCAATACAGTGTCCGATGAGAAATGGGGTTGTATTTGTTTGCTTCACATTCGAATAAAAGGCCCAAAACTAAACTATTGATTATGAAGCAGATGTACAGGAATAACGAAAGGTACTAACGCTATGTACGTGCATGCGGTCGATGTGTTATAAATCACAAGATCAAAATGAGAGTAGTGAGTGAGTGAGCACGTTAAGCACTTTGGTGAACCCACAATCATGGTGTTAAGCTAGCAGAACTTTGTCGTTCTTTTAATCTTCACGTCTTTAATGGCAGGTTCTTTAATGATCAGAGAGGAGAGTTCACTTGTGTAACACACAATTGAGCAAGTGTTGTTGATTATATGTTAGCTTCATCATCCCTGTTTGCCCATGTAACTGACTTTGGTATTGGTACAAGAGATAATTCATGCCACTTTCCATTATACTGCAGTCTTAATCTAGATTTTAACTGTTTATATGAACCTGATTGTAAATTGCCACAAAATGATCTTCCGCAAGATGTCAGTACTGAGCCATGTAAATGGTATAGGTATGTCTGGAGTAGAGACTCTGGTAACTCTTTCTTTGATAATTTTAAAGCTGGCTTTTATGATATTACATCTGCACTATGTGATATGATTGATACTAATGTAGAGAGTGCCCTAGTTCATATAGTTAATGTGCTATATATATCCAATGTGCTGCTGACCATACCAAAAAACTTTATACACAATTCCGCAAACCATTAACATTATGTCAGCCACCATGGTGGGACAAGATCTTGAAAACTTGAAACATGATAAGTATGCTGCTCTCAGAGCCCATAGACACCACAATGCTGATCTAGACCGCTTTAGATATTTTAGACGCTTGTTTAAGAAAAGTTTCAATTCCAAAAAACAGCAGTATCTACAAACTCAGAGGGACAAATTAGTCGCAGCTAGATCTGGCCCAAGTTTTTTCTGGAAAATCATTAAAGAAAACAAATTTGGTAACACAATTTCTGAAAATATTTCATGCCAGCAATGGTTTGACCATTTTAGATCACTTTTATCCATTGACAATAGCACCCAGTATCCACTCTATGATGATTCTGCCCCCTCTGCCTCCGATAGTTTAAACCATCCCATCTCTGAACAAGAAATATTATCCCACATAAAAAATCTACCTACTAACAAATCCCCAGGTCCAGATGGCATACCAAATGAATTTATTAAATCCTGCAGTAACCTTCTTGCACCTATTCTCTCACCAAGATTTTTAATCAAATATTCTCTACTGGTTCCTTCCCATCTTCATGGGGTAAGAGTATAATCTGTCCATTACATAAATCTGGTGATAAATCAAATAGAGACATCTAAAGAGGAATATCTCTTATAGATACTTTATGCAAGGTTTTTATATCTATCCCAAACAGCAGATTACAGCAATGGTGTGACACCATTAACATCCTTAGTGAAGCTCGGGCTGGTTTTAGAACTGACTATTTTACTATTGACCATATTTTTACATTACAAGCTATTACAACAAAATATTCTGGCAAAAAGAAGGGAAGATTTTACTGCCTCTTTATTGATTTTTCGAAAGCTTTCAACACTGTAAAACATGATGTTCTGTTAGATTCAATAAAGAAAAAAGGTATATCGGGTCCCATTTATAATGTTTCCATGTTCAGTGGTTTATCAGCCTGTGTAAGATCAGCCAAAGGTTTATCTCAAGTGTTTCCAAGTGTTTCCAAGGTTGTGTCTTAAGCCCACAAATGTTCCTAATTTTTATTAATAATTTGTCCACAGTATTTGAGGAATTAGGTGGTAAAGGTATTCATATTTTTCTCCTGATATAGATAATTTATGTGCTCTTCTTTTTGCTGATGATGTTTCTGCTCTCTCAAATAGTTGTGCCCAGCTTCAAAAGAAAATTAATTCTTTGGAAATATTTTGTAATAAAACAGGCATGCAAATTAACTTAAAACAACCAAAAGTAATTGTATTTAGGCAAGGTGGCCATCTTCGCAGTTATGAAAAGTGGTTTTATCATGGTGAACCTATTGAAACTGTTTCAAGTTATAGATATCTTGGCTTAATGTTTACACCTAAGCTTGTATGGAGTAAGGCACAAACTACTCAAGCATCCCAAGCCACCAAAGCAATTTTAGCCATTAACTCTTTTCAAAGGAAAATTGGTAATATCACTTGCACAGATCTGTTTAAGGTTTTTGACTCTATGGTCACCCCCATCTTAACCTATGGCTCTGAAATTTGGGGTACTTGCTATTGTAAAAAAATCGAATCTGTCCAAATCGCCTCTTGTAAGCATTATTTAAAAGTAAAAAAATCAACCTGCTAAAATATGGTTTTAGGGGACTGTGGGAAGTTTCCTTTACAACTCACTTACATGACTAAAGTAATTAAATATTGGTGCAGGCTCTTACATCTTCAACCCCACAGATTACCTTCTCAATGCTATTTAATGCTTAAATCTTTAGATGATGTTGGGCGGGTAACTTGGGCGACTTAAGTATTTTTATATTTCATACTAAATATTTTATTCCAATTTGGGTTTGGTTTTGTATGGCTCAATCAAGAGGTGGGTGACTCTAAAGCTTTTATTCTCCATTTTAAGCAAAGGCTTAAAGATAATTTACAGCAATTCTGGAGTGCTTCTGTAAACTCTTCTCCAAAATGTGATCTTTATAAGCATTTTAAATCCATGTTAAATGTTGAAAGGTACTTGTCATGTCCACTCCCTACCCATTTAAGAATTGTTTTTACTAAATTCAGATGTTCAAATTTTAAAATAGCTTTAGAAACTGGCAGATATAGTAAAACTACGAAAGCCTATTAGGGCCAAATTAATTGATAACATTTTTTTATTTAAAAGTTGTAATTACAAGTTGTAAAGGTGTAATTACAAGTTGTAAAGGTGTAATTACAAGTTAAAAAGGTTTAATAACGACTTATAAAAAGTTATAGTTACATGTTTTTAAGGTGTAATTTCAAGTTTAAAAGATGAAAATACAAGTTTTTAAAGGTGTAATAAATAGATTTAAAGGCGTAATAACAAGTTTAGAAATGGAAATAACAAGTTTTGAAAGGTGTAATTACAGGTTTGAAAAGGTGTAATTATGAGTAAGAAATGTGAAATTTCACTGAATGATCGAAACACTTGAAGTTCTGTAATTACACCTTTAGAAACTTGTAATAACACCTTTACAAGTTGTAATTACACCTTGAGAATCTTGTAAATACACCTTTACAACTTGTAATTACACCTCTTAAATAAAGAATGTTATCAATGAATTTGGCCCTAATAGGCTTTCGTATAATACAGACCGTTCACTCAGATTTTGTAACTATTGCAGTAGTAAGGGAGTTAATGTCATTGAGGATGAATTTCATGTACTCTTTAATTGTAATTTATATTCTGCCCTAAGACAAAAATACCTTGTTAATCTCCCTATGCCTACTCATTACAGTAATTCTCATGTAATAAATATTCTTAGTAATTATAATGAGCAAACATTATTTCTAGTTTGTAAATTCTTATATTATGCTCACAAAATAATTAATGATAAATTCTGTGCCCTGTAAATGTCATGCTCACATGTCTGTATTTTGGGCCATTGGCCTTTTACTGAATAAACATGTCTGTCTGTCTGTCTGTCTGTCTGACAATCATGATTTTGGTGTGCCGAAGACGAATGGGCCATCCGTGCCCCCAAACATCAGAGTAAAAACGAATGGGAGGCAACTGATAACACGGTAATAAATATTAATGGTGTATTAGTGAGTGAGTGAGTGAGTATGGTTTTACGCCGCTTTTAGCAATATTCCAGCAATATCACGGCGGGGGACACCAGAAATGGGCTTCACACATTGTACCCATGTCGGGAATCGAACCCGGGTCTTCGGCGTGACGAGCGAACGCTTTAACCACTAGGCTACCCGACCGCCCCTAATGGTGTATTATACATCACCAGCTGGTGATCACTTGGACATACATTACCTCACTACAGGTTTTCGTCGCTGTACATCAATATTTACTGGAATACACTTTTGTATCAGGGTTTTAAACGAATACTTACGCTGTCAACACAACACTCACCTGAAATATACTGAACCGCAAAAGAAACGTCACCCAAAGTAACATTGCATGAAAAGTTGTCATTTAAATGTCTGGGTAATTTTTGTCAAAGTTTCTAAAATTTAACATTACCTTGTCCGGAAAAATGAAATTTGATGCTAAAAAACCAAAGCAGATGACAATAAAACCGATCGCCCAAACGCATCACGGCAACGGCCATGGAGTTCCGTGCAAATTGAAATGCAAATGGGTTCCCCCATTTCTTTCCCTATAAAAATCCACCCAGATCGGATAACATTCATTCATTATTTTCTTGCTACCACAGCGACACCAAGCCCTTGGACGATTGCAAGCTGGACAAACCGCCCGGCAAGTAGCCAATGCATTTCAATTCAGATTGTGCGACAGCATCTTCAAGATCGCTTTGTTACTGCTGCGGAAACTGCTCGACAGACCAAAGGGATACCCCAGCGACACATTAGTGCGGACACCGTGCGTCGACGATTGACGAGAGCTACAAGTGACTTCCTCTAGCAGAATAGAATCAGAACCATGCAATGGCCCGCCCTCAGTCCCGATTTAAATCCCATTGAGCACCTGTGGGACGAGATTCAAAGACGGCTGAATGACGTCCGACCAAGGCCGACAACTGCAGCTGAACTGCGTCAGACGTTCCTGACTCAAGTGGGCTCAAGTGCCTATGGCCTTCATCAACCGCCTCATCCATTCCATGTATCGACGTTGCACGGCAGTCATCAATGCACATGGCGGACACACGAGATACTGACTTGTGATGCCATTTTCTTAGTCAGAGACTAGTGTTGTGTTTCACTTTAAGAACATTTGACACTTTAATTTCAACCATGATGAGCAGTTTTGCCAAGTTTCATCTTCTTAATATGTCTCAAAGTATATTTACAGTGTTTTGACAAATGAGGCTTCTCATATATCTGCCCATGGTGACGTTTCTGTTGCGGTTCAGTATAGATATGTATACCTTGTTCACAACGAAGAGTAAATACGCTACAAGTTTCAATTCCGTGCTTGGCGCTTTATATAGACCTGGATTATTCCAGCTTTATGACGGTGGTCTGTATATAATCGTATCTGGAACAGACAATCAAGTGACTGGCACCAGGAGCATTGAGCCACGTAATTGGTATACGATGACATGCATCAACCAAGTCAGAGAGCATGATCACCACAGTATTTAGGAAGTCAACAGAATAACAGCTCCCAAGACCATGTTTATTATCTCAGTTGTTTATTATTTAGCCCTTCTCGGAATCGGTAAAGATAAGTGATCACAAACGATTGTCGACTTACACGAAGACTGTAATGAGAATGCGAGCTGATGCTTGGATCCTTGCGTCTGAAGCTGGCCAGTCAAATCCAAATCATTTGTTACGTTAGTGTTTCGTCATACAGCATACCTGTGATCATAGGCAAGTATTCAATAATTGGTTGTATTGCCGTAAAAGGCGACTATGGTTGTTTTGGTTTGGTTTCGTTTGTTGTTTAACGCCGCACCAAGCAATATTCCAGCTATATGACAGCGGTTATATAAATGTAAATAATCGAGCCTGGACCAGACAATCCAGTGATTGATATCATGAGCATCGATCCACGCAATTGGGATCGATGACATGCATCAACCAAGTCAGCGAGCCTGACCACCCGATCCCGTTAGTTGCCTTTTACGACAAGCATAGTCACCATTTACGGCAAGCATGGGTTGCTGATGACTCATTGTCGTAAGAGGCGACTAACGGGAGTCCACTTGAAAGTTGGTATGTGAATGCTTTAAGATAATGTCATTTACAACTCACCTGCTATACATGCGGTCATGTAGCATGCCAACTGCCCGGTTATATTAGCACGGATGATGTATTTTGTAATGGTGTATTTTCTCTGTGGAATTAAAGTATTGAAGACTCCGATGGCGACTCCAAGAGCAGCGAGATGGTTCTGTCCACAGAACGCATAGGTTCCAATCACCTCCGATCGTTTCTGAAATTAGAAGTGTGGCTCTTAGATCGAAAGAAAACCCATTTTCTCGTATATATAACATAGTGGAGGTCGGGTTACAATCGTTTCAATTTCGTCATGCTAAAAGAAAAGTAAATTTGGGATCGGGTCATCAGGTTCCTGTCTTCCGGAGGCATGGGCGACCAGTAGCGTTTTTATCAAAGTCTTGTTTCCACCCTTGCCACATCAAGCCTACTTTCCTGTGCTACATATGATTGGACTATCGCTCATATCGATAGTCCTATCAGAGAATGTTTCACAAATTCAACTTGCACGACTAGCACACCCTCGTATGACGTGATTTAACGCTGTCTGTCTTTGTTGACACGAATAGGTCTTTTTCACCTTTAAACCCCACAACAATTGCCTATGTTTTTTTGTCAGGGATGAAATGGCGAATGTATTCATAATCTGATCGACAAGGTCGTCATCTATGGTTTGTGAACAGCGATCTGATTGGATATCGCGTTTCCTAAGGGGCACAACTCGTGATGTACGCGAGGTGACGCCACGGTCGAGCCAAGAAAAGTGGCCTTGATGTGGTAAGGGTAGCAACTAGGCTTTGATAGAGGCTATGGACACGCTTGACTCGGGAAGATGTCAGGTTTCGTGACCTGGCTTGACTAGTCAGATTTGGGACTTTTACCAATTAACCGCTGTTACCAGCCTAGGCTCGATTACGTAAAGGCTTCAGTGGTCCGGCTGACATGACATATCTGACTGACGTCGACAAAACTCTAAATCAATCATCACTTAATAACCTCTTTCATTTAACCCTGAAAATAAATCCAACTGCGGGTACACGTTCACCTGTGTCTCCTGTTTTCGTGTTATGTGTCATTTGTGTTGACCGAGCTGACGAATAGAAGCGGTCCGACTACGCATAACTCATGATCACCTACTCCATCACTTACCGTTAGTATCCCTCCAGGAAGTGTCCTATTGGTCCAGTCTAATATGACGTCACTTCCTTCCCAGTGCCACGTTCCATTAGTGGACGCCACGTAGTTTTCTAGCACCTCGCGGTTCTTGATGAGTTTCCCGAATAGATGGTAACCATAGAAGGAATTTGCAAACGTCTTAATTCCTAACAGCTCACCAATCTTCAGGATATCTGACCTCGAGAAGCCCATGATATAAATTAACGGGTAGAAGCAGTAGGAACACAGGAACTGAAACATATATTATGAAAAGTGTTTTCGTATGATGACATACATTGAAAGCTCGATAGTACGGACCTGGATAGCGCGGACAACCACCTCACTTGGTCGCGGAGCTACAGACAATATTCGTTTGTATACAATTGAACATTTCACTCGTGATTGGTTAATTTGTTAATGCGGACAATTTCATAACGATAAATACGAGACAAAACCATTTCCACAATCATAAGAAATCTCTGCTAAATGCAGAGTCCATTGTACGATTCTAACTAAATGATAAAGCATATGTTTGTTGATCACTATCAAACGGTGATGAAACTGATGTTTTCGCTGTGCAGTGTTGCGTCCCTTGGGTACGCCACAAACCTATGATTGTGGGTTCGAATCCCGGTTCGCCCCGATTATGGTTCTAGGTTTGTCAACACCATACCCGTGCTCGTGGGTTTCACCGAAGTGGTAAACGTCTGAGACCTGCATCACTTCGGGCTTTCCTCCTACATGAAGCTGACACGCCGTGATATAACAGGAATACTGTTAAAAGCGGCGTTAAACCCAACTCACTCACCCCAATGATACTGGTGTTCGCGAAAAGGTTAGCGTATCCTGCCCTCCTGTTAACGCTTCCCTCCAGCAAAAAAGAGTGAGTGAGTGAGTACGGTGTCACGCCGCTTTTATCAGCAATATTCAATATGACGGCGGGGGACTTAAGATAATTGGGCTTCACATACTGTACCATGATGGGAATCGAACCTTGGCCTTCGGGATGCCGAGCAAACGCTTTAACAACTAGGCTAACTCACCGCCCCTTCAGAATAACGAGGTTTCAATAATTATGTCTTTCACATATTTAAACCGTTTTTGTTCGGGTGGATGCGATTCACAATTTTAACTTAACAGTGTTTAAGATTTTAACAATAATGTTGAAATTACCGCAAAGGACAGTCCTGACACCCCAACTCTGTTACCAAACCAGATGAGCGCCGAGTCCACGAACTGGACGATGGCTATGTAGATGATCTGGTTAGCAATGATACTTGTCAGAATTGGCAGAGATTCTCTAGCACCTTCAGACACCGCTTCCAGAATGTTGTTGAATTTTCTGCAGATCATAATTGTGTTTGATGTGATTATGTTATTTCAATGACGAACCTCCCAGTTAATGCGGGTCAGGTACTATCAGCAGTACAAACTTTGGTAAAAGTCGAAACCAAGAAGGAACCCACTTACGGCAATGCAGTTAATACGGTAACCATTTCAATGAAAACCCATTCTAAATTGTGTTTCCCGTTTTACACTACTGTCTTATATTATTGCACTATTAGGCATGGGGGAATTTTGTTAGAGACACGGTACCTTGTGGATCACTGCTTCAAAACACACACATTGTATCTCTGAAAGGACCCGAACATTTGTTCTCAACACAATTTTGTTTCTTTCGTAAAACACAGGGGTAATTTAGTTCCAGTAAGTCCCGGGTGAGATGGGTATCTTTTTTAAATCACAGGACACCCCTCCTTACAGATCTCATAAAGTGACGAGTTTGATGTGATACGTTACTGACGGGACGGGGATGTTGTATGCGTCTCTTGGTTTGATCTTGGTCCACTGTGTTTCCGGAACGATCAGCTTGGACATGGCCAGGGCAGCTGGGGCAGACATGACGCTGGCAGCTAGCAGGTGATTGGCTGGAGCCTAGGGGCCATGCAACATGCGCAGAAGAGACTTGAATACAACTGGAATATTGCTGACTGCGGTGTTAAGCAAACGAATGAATTTAGCAGTTGCAGCTTATCGCAACGTTCGCGAGACAGGAAATGTACCTCGCAGGCATTGATTGTATCAACAGCCTTTACTAATCAGAATTTACAGTAAAAACAATTCAAAAATAAAACTGAATCTTGGCAAATGGTGTTAACTGGAAAAACAACTTCAACGGTATTGGTAAATATTGGTCACGAACGTAATGTTATTTCATCAAACGGATGACGAGGAATGTATATGGAATGGAATTTCAAAAGGTTTGGTTGGTTGGTTGCTTTGTTGTTTAACCCCGCACTACGCAATATTCCAGCTATATGACGGCGGTGTGTAAACACTCGAGCCTGGACTGGACAATCCAGTGATTAATATCATGAGCATCGATCCACGTAATTGGGATCGATGACATGCATCAACCACTTCAGTGAGCCTGACCACCCGATCCCGTTAGTCTCCTCTTACGACAGGGCGGTCGGGTAGCCTAGTAGTTAAAGCGTTCGCTCGTCACGCCGAAGACCCGGGTCCGCTTCCCGACATGGGTACAATGTGTGAAGCCCATTACTGGTGACCCCCGCCCTGATATTGCTGGAATATTGCTAAAAGCGGCGTAAAACCTCACTCACTCACCCCTCTTACGACAAGCATAGTCGCCTTTTACGACAACCATGGGTTGCTGAAGACCAATTCTACCCCGGATCTTCACGGGTCGATTTCAGAAGGGATGTTACAATGTTATGGTCGTTGTTATGATTTGATGAATAATTGATGGAAATTGTTTCCAAGCATTTCCAAACAAGTTTACTATAATATAATCTTGTGTTGCAATTTACGGAGTGTATTAATGTGATCTTAAAAGTGCAGTTAGTGACCCAAAAAGTTGGAAACAATTGTCGGGAAGTGGCAATATTTGGCTTGGTATAATTGTTTGTTGTTTAACACTGTACTCAGCAATATTCCAGCTGTCGACCGTACGTACCGTCGATGGTACGGCTCGAGTGAATGTAGACATTGCTATGGAGAAGATACATGTGGTACATGTGGCACTGTTACCACCATGAAGCAACACCGGGGTGAGTGGTACGCCTGAACTACCTACCCCGAAGGATGTGAGCATCCCAAACACTGAGCCTGCAATACTCGCAAATCCCGCCGCCATCACCGCATGCAGCTCAGAAGGGGTCAACAACGGCAGGAATGGTTTGATGGCAATAGGAGATTCAGCCTGGGAATGATATACAACTTAAACATATTATATTGCATTGTTTTAAATACTGACTTATTCGTCAAAAATGAAAGCAAATGTAGGGAAGCCTTTTTACGGAAGCCTTTTAGGGCCATGTCAAAAAAAAAATCATATCCCTAGTAACTGGAAAATTCCACTTAGTATCTGGAAAATTCCACTGAGTTTCCACTTAGTATCTGGAAATTTCCAGATACTAAGTGGGAATTTCCAGATACTAAGTGGAAATTTCCAGATGCTTAGTGGAATTTTCCAGATACTTAGTGGAAATTTCCATATACTAAGTGGAAATTTCCAGTAAAAAGGGATATGAATTTTTTTTTGGGAAATGGTCCTAAAAGGCTCCCCTAGTTTCCTGATGATTTCTGCTCATAATAACAAAAACAAAATAAGGGCCAAGTTTAACTTAAGGTTCATCTGTTACGAAAAGCATGGGTTGCTGAAGACCAATTCTACCCCGGATCTTCACGGGTCGATTTCAGAAGGGATGTTACAATGTTATGGTCCTTGTTATGGTTTCACTAGTTTCCTGATGATTTCTGCTCATAACAAAAACAAAAAAAGGGCCAAGTTTAACTTAAGGTTCATGTGTTAAGATGGTCTGTTAAGTAGCCAAGTCCCTTCCACATTTATCAATGGCCACAGTGAAATCGCCTCATCTATTTCATATTTAGATCGACAGGATCGATGACTTCAACTTTTCAATTGTGAACATTCCCTTTTATCAAGCAATATTCCAGCAACTTCAGCCTTTGGTGTCTTCATTTCACAACCTTTTGAGGTACAACCGTGCATGCTCTTCCAAAGTACATTTCAGAAAGCGTCATCAGACCCTTGCTCAATAGTTGGTTAATCATGGTTATAACATTCAAGGCCTTAGTAAGGCTTTCATGTGAAGTGTACACGTGGAGTGTACTTTTAAATGTGACGCATCAGTGTCCGATGCAATTCCTTATTTTGACTTGCAACATTTGTTTTCAGGTGAACAATTGACTTGCCTTTGCATGTGTTTGTGACGGTTGCCATTAGGCAGTATACGCTCACCGTTTCACGAACACCTGGTATCAACACTGATTGATAGCGATGCATACATATATGCTTGTGATATAGTCGGAATCGTACAATGGTTGTTGAATACCAATTCTAACCCAGATCATCATCACGAATTCGACTTAAAAGAGTTAGGATGTCAGCACCATACCCGTGCTCGTGGGTTTCACCGAAGTGGCAAACGTCTGAGACCTGCATCACTTCGGGCTTTCCTCCCACATTAAGCTGACACGCCGCGATATGACTGGAGTACTGTTAAAAAGCGGCGTTAAACCCAACTCACTCACTCACTCACTAAAAGAGTTAGGATGAAAACTAGAACTTGATATAGGCTTGTGGACACTCTTCTCTCGGAATGATGGTATCCTCAATCATTGGTTGATTTTAGGTTGGCAAACTAATAAGATTTTCCTTTTTAAAGTAACTATATGTGAACACATTTTCAAGAACGAACAATATTCTTACTGGGCCAAAGAGAATGTTGAGTGCTGTGTTGACGGATTCAACTGGACTTGTACCAAGGCAGAAGGTAAGGAACCATCCGAAATTGGCCACAAACGCTTGGAGAATCCCGTAGTAGTACAACACGTTTATAGTGGAACAGAACATCATCACTAATGGCATGATCTGAAAACATACAAGATACTTTGAGAACAAGATGTACGCAAAACATATATGAACGCTTAAACCCTTACAGCAATAACTAGACTGCTTGTCGTAAGAGGCGACTAACGGGATCGGGTGGTCAGGCTCGCTGACTTGGTTTGATGCATGTCATCGAACTCAATTGCGTGAATCTATGCGTATGATGTCAATAACTGGATTGTCTGGTCCAGACTTGATTATTTACAGACCACCGTCATGTAGCTGGGAAATTGCTGAGTGCGGCGTTACATAACAAACCAACCAAAGCCATGACCAGTTTACAACTTCACTCACTTGTGATGTATGTCTCTAAATAAAAACAAACAACGATTTAACTCGAAAAAAGGTTTCTATGAAATCAGTAAATATAATACGTCCACGCCAGAGAAGAAACAAATTCCACTGGGTGTGAAAGGAAAAACAGCAGTGAACAATTTATGAATGGGGCATGGATGTCAAGGATTTCACCAGGTGTTCAAAACAAAAGTGTAAGCATGTGAAACATGTAATTACGTTATATATTTTCTTTCTTTATGTCAATGAGTATATGACATTGTAAACAAACAACAAATGTGTTTTGTCAGAAATATAAGTATAAGCAGCTTCAAAACCAATACCAATACCAATACTACAATACTATGTGGAAATAAATTGTAAAGGGTGTTTGAGTATTTTCCAAGCGTTTATATCGACATGGTAGTTCTATTTGTTTTACAGATTTACTTGTTACTGGGAAGAAACACCACGCATACCCTGAACACAAACATGTGGTCTCTGTAACTCTTGCCAAAAACAAATTCCGAGCCTTTGTCTGTATGCTCCAGGAACTCTTCTATCCTGTCTCCAAGCCATCGGAAGATTTCGTAGCCAAAATTAGTTCTCAGTATTAGCAAGGCGAACAAAACCTGAGTACCAATTCCCCAGAACACCGCATGCCAATTTACCTGAAATGATCACACATGTTGTATTATGATTAGACCATTAAATAAGCACATCGGTTGGACGAAAATTAGCAATGTATTGATATTGTTAAACATGTGTTCGGTAGCCATACTGATGAAGTCATTTTAGATAAGCGGACGCAACTTTATTATGCTTCCAAAATAAACTTGTTGTCTACCGGTCTCCCTTGGTAAAGGATGTTATGTATGTTTGTTGTTTAACAGCAATATTCCAGCTATATGACGGCGGTCTGTAAATAATCGAGTCTGGACCAGATTATCCAGTGATTGATATCATGAGCATCGATCCACGCAATTGAGATCGATGACATGCATCAACCAAGTCAGCGAGCCTGACCACCCGATCCCGTTAGTCACCTTTTACGACAAGCATAGTCACCTTTTACGGCAAGCATGGGTTGCTGAAGACCTATTTTATCCCGGAATCTACCGGTTGGAATTACATAGTCGGACACAGAAGGTACATTACACCATATTCTCCTCGAAACCGGTGGACAACTGATAATATATTTCCCCATTGTCTAAGGACAGAGTAACCGGTACCCAGCTGAGGCACGAATAAGGGGGTTGTGTACCCTACTCGACGTTCGTACGGGTTTGGAGCTGGCTGACCAAGGTACATAATCGAGGCATTTCGTAGGTTTGATCATCAACCAACGGATCAAGGAAGCAAATCTGCACAGAACATTGCGGCGTCTTTTAAAGCAGAGGCTATCGTGTCCCTAGTTGATTCAACGAAAACACATAAGAACTAACTTGTAAATTTCATTTATTTCATATATCGTAATGCAAACGAGTGTACGTTCATAGGAATCTTGTATGGAGATGTTATAAATCGATTAATCAATCCCGCTGAGGTACCATGCAGTTAGCAGAGGCACCGTAAGTCTGTATGGTCCCTAGTTGGTTGATTGGTTAGCTTGTTCTTTAACGTCGCTCTCAGCAATATAACAGCTATATGACGACGGTCTGTAAATAATAGAGTCTGGATCAGACAATCATGTGATTGATATCATGAGCATCGATCCACGCCATAAAGTGGCCTACTAAGGTGGCTGTTATTTTATAGCTTGAGTTTCATGTCGTTGTTTAAGCGTCTGTTATAATTATTCAAATACAAATCTGCAATGTTACTGGTCATTGTACTGTCCCATGAGACCCGTGAGCATCCGGGGTAGAACAGGTCTTCAGCAACCCATGCTTGCCGTAAAAGGCGACTATGCTTGTCGTACGAGGCGACTAACAGGATCGGGTGGTCAGGCTCGCTGACTTGGTTGATGCATGTCATCGTATCACAATTGCGTGGATCGATGCTCATGATGTCAATCACTGGATTCTCTGGTCCAGACTCGATCATTTACAGACTGCCGTCATATAGCTGGTGTATAGCTGAGTGCGGCGTGAACCAACAAACAAACACTCTGTCCCATGATGAGTTTTAGAAACTGTGAATGCATTACTTTATCTAGTCACAGTATTGCTAAAATACTGCCGACGTGACTCGCTCACTGCACTCGATATAATCAAGGGTTTGAATCAAATACATTACCCTGGCAGGGTGTTCCGATATCAGATATCCTAGCAGAATAAAGAACGTGAGGCCAGCAAGGGACACGAAGTTGTCAGCGGTCAGGTTGCTGGTTGTCAAGTAGACAACGATGAACACCACCAGAGCAACATACAGCAGCCTGTTAACAGCAACGTCACCACCAGTGAATCTAATGTTCTCGTTCGTTCGTTTGTTTGTTTGTTTGTTTAATTATAACGCCTCACTCAGCAATATTCCAGCTTTATGACGGCGGTCTGTAAGTTAACGAGTCTGGACCAGACAATCCAGTAGTTGCCGACATGAGCATTGATCCACGCATTTGGGATATGATGACATGCATCAACCAAGTCAGCGAGCCTGACCACCCGATCCCGTTAGTCACCTTTTACGACAAGCATCGTCGCCTTTTACGGCAAGCATTGGTTCCTGAAGACCTATTCTACCCCGGATCTTCACGGGTCTCACACCAGGTAATCTAATGTTCAGTTAAGAAACTTCAATTTCAATTGTTCGGAAAACATCCAGTTCACATTACAGGTTATGATTAAAAATATGCAGTGTTACGAAAATAAAGAATTTACCATCTGATTATTCTCCTTAATGAAGTTAACTTCTTTATCCTCTTCGACAATGGGCGGAAAACGTTCTGCACCTGAGCTTCGAGTTTTATTTTGCCATAAATGAAAACTAAGAAAACAGTTCCAACCATTAGTCGCAGAGAGCCCTCATCTCCGAAAGAAAACCTCATGCAGAATCCAAAGTATACGATATAGACAGTCAAAAGCACCAGTGAACTCATCATTCCAATTGGTTTCTTATTGCGGACTATCATTCTCCAGACAGACGCCCTTGTCCTTGTGACCACTTCACCGCATGGTAGATAATGTTCCATATAGTCACGTTCTTCACCATGCGTGTTCTTGGATACATCTTCTTCTTCAGAGTCGAATGTTGCCTTTGGACAATTTTGTACTGCAAATAGCGCCTCCTGAAAACAAGCCCAGTTTCGTTCTTTAATTAGAATGTCATATAAACCCGTAAAGATCCAGGATAGAATTGGACTTCAGCAATTCGTTGTCGTAGGAGGCGACTGACGTGAAAAAGTATGTTATATGAGTGAGTGAGTATGGTTTTACGCCGCTTTGAGCAATATTCCAGCAATTTCAAGATTGGGGACACGAGAAATGGCCTTCACATATTTTGGAACAATGTGGGAAATCGAACCTGGGTCTTCGGCGTGATGCGAGAACGCTTTAACCACTAGGCTACTCCATCTCGCCATGTTATATCAGTAGTAGTTACTATTGAATCGAATAGTCCAGTGGATGTCACGACGTTTTGAAATTAAAGTATTTCAGCTTGATAAAGGCATAATAGCTAATAACCCAAGGTGATTTGCGTTCTTGCAACCCACGACCACAGTCAAAGGAAAGTTGTTAAAGGCGCATGGTACATATAGCTAATAGTTCAGTGAGAGGTATTAATGTCATCAGCAAATACGAATGATGTTATAAAATGTGATCATTATTAATTAATTTGTTTTATGAGAAGCAAACTCACATTGGGTGTATCAGCCATTTTGACGAGATCCATCTCTTCTTCGATCTGGCACTCCGCCATATGTCAGCATAACCAGGAGCGATTCCGCTACTCTCTATTAATAAGTAGGTACAATTGTGTTATATATTCACGTATGAGCGCGAGCAAGATATAGTGGTTTAATTATAGATAACCAATCAGTTAAACAAGCCATTGTGTTATTTTAAACATCACATTTCACCGCTGACACTACACACGTGGATGGGTGAAGGCACTTTTTTATTCTAGAAGAGTGAGTATGGTTTTACGCCGCTTTTAACTATATTCCAGCAATATCACGGCGGGGACACCAGAAATGGGCTTCACGCAATGTACCCATGTCAGGAATCGAACCTAGGTCTTCGGCGTGGCGAGCGAACGCTTTAACTACCAGCCTACCCGACCGCCCCTTTTCTTGAAGACCCAGGTACAATAGTAGATAGGTGTACATGTAGTCACCCTTCTTTCATCTCTCAGTTGAGGAACGGACTTATATTTCTGTAAATAATCGAGTCTGGACCACCCGATCCAGTGGTTGATATGAGCATCGATCCATGCAATTAGGATACGATTACAAGCATCAACCAAGTCAGCGAATCTGACCATCCGATCAAGTTAGTCGCCTCTTACGACAAGCATAGTCGCTGAAGACCTATTCTTACCCGCATTTTCACGGATATTTGCTGAGCAACTGTTGTAGGCCTGGATGAGGAGAGATCTTTCGTTTTTCATAATTTTGAAAAATTGCCCCGGAGCCTTACACAGTTTAAAATAAAAAAGATATGTGTGGTATCTATGCACACAAGATACAAACCTTATTGAGAAATATTAACATTGCGGACAGAACAAAGTACAACAGAGGACACAATACAAGCCTTAATAATATTTATGAGCAACAACATTGTTGATTATTATTTAGTATCAATTATCTGAACTGTATGTACTTTATTTTCTCTGTGATGTATTCAGAGCTAATAAGTCCGTCAGCACAGACAAATGTGTATGTTGGTGAACATATTGCATTTAATTAAAACAAACGAGTTTTGCTTTTATACGATCTGTAATGAAAACACACAAAAACATTTCCAATCTGACAATAACCGGCAAAACTCATTTCCAAAATGGCAATATTAATTTATCGTATTAATGTAAGTTTTGTATAAATTGTACTTAATAGTGCCGAGTTCCAGATCGGATAACATAAAACAGTTCAGAATTGGCTGGTTTGTTGTTTTACGCCGCACTCAGCAATAGCTTTATGACGGCGGTCTGTATATAATCGAGACAATAAAACCAGACAATCCAGTGATTGATATCATGAACATCGATCCGCGCAATTGGGATCGATGACATGCATCAACCAAGTCAGCGAGCTTGACCACCCGATCCCGTTAGTTGCCTTTCGCAACAAGCCTTTTAAGGCAAGCATCGGTTGCTGAAGACCTATTCTACCCCGGATCTTCACGGGTTAGAGAAGAAAGACACTCATTATATGAATTGTAGGTGTTGTAGTAAACCCAGTTTGCGAACCATTATCAAAAATCTCATTGTCCCTTATTGTTCAATATAATAAATATTCTCCATCCCTTATTTTCAATAATGACATCATAATTTAAAGAGGTCTCTAGTTCAGAAGTTGAAGTGTGAAACAAAAAGTAATGCCTTCAGCGATTGTGATGTAAGGCCGGTTAGGAGTTAATGGATCGGGTGATCTGACTCAGTGATTTGGCTGATTGCAAAGTCATTTTTCAATATAATTTTAATGAAATGGTTTCTGAAATGTACTTCATACTTAAGAATTTCGAGACGTCTTTTCCAATCAAGTATATCAGATTGGTCGATAATAGCTAAATAATAGTTCTGTGATCAGCTCTAACTTTTTGAAGGTAACCACTTGCTGATAACATTGTATAATATATCCAAAGTATTATAATGCGTGAACAATCTCATAACAAACACATCTTAGTCCTCGCTACCGCTTAACAAAGATCTGAGGACATCCCGTTACAGGTCTCTTCAGAACGACCTTTCGCGAACTTTGGCCGACCAATGAATTTACTAACGAGAAGTCAACATTAGCCAATCAGAAAGCAGCATTTTTTAGCTATACGGGACCAGTTTCCATTATTCAAGACTACGCTTTGAATTTGAAAACTGGAATGTCTAATAGATGGCGGAATTGTATAGCAGAACTTCCTACGAGCTATTCAAAGTCTTTTCCGATCAAATGTTTATCTCATTGAAGCGAAAGATGATTGTACCGGAATCAGTCGTACAGCCCGTAACTGTCGCTCGAAATACATGTTCCTCGTGTTAACGTTGTCGAGGTTGCATAATTAGAAAACACATTCCTGATCTGGTAAACGACGCTCTGATTAGTCGGATGAAAGGTCTTACTAACGTTACCCGCAATTGGGTGTCCTCAGATCTTTGCTTAGCGGTAGCGAGAACTAAGATATGATTTTAATGAGATTAGGTCATGAAAGTACACATGACCAAACATATGCTTGAGATCTTTGATAAAACAAAGCTGATCAAATGTGGCCTTATCTTATCTACAGACCAGCAGAAAGCCACACCAGCTAAGCTATATGTTTGGCTTTTCTGCACTAGTACTATTGATTTATTCAGTTCAAGCTGGCTCATTGTGGAATGAAATGTATACTTATGTACCTGGCGACATGGCTCCTGTTGATGGTGTCATTCCTCGTAGCAGAGCAAGCTGTTGTGAACAAAAACTCGTGCACAGCCGTCACAGACGAAGGCGTTATAGATCTGCGACCTCTGGCTAACAATGACAGCTCACCAAGGTAGTGTACTCCGTACAGTGAGTGGGCGAGTAGTGGTATACGCCGCTTCAAGCAATATAAACTGGGGGGCAACAGAAAGTATACCGAGTTTGTGTTTTATGTTATTGAAAGAACTGTTGTAAAATTTGATTTTTTGAATTGCGTCTATTCAACCATCACTCATTCCTGCCACAGTTTGTAAAAAGTAATCTGTGGCTGGGTAATTTTGTGTAAATTGATTGATTCAATGAGGACTGAGATAAGAAAGGAATTTGCAACCACGTGACTCCTTATACCATGACATGTTGTAAATTTGTGACGAGAAACCCCAAAATTTATAGATTTTCAAAGGAAAGATGTCCAAGATACCAATCAGCAGCGATTTTTTAAAATATTTTTTTAAGGTTTAAATCATGTATTCTTTGAGTACAGACCAAGCGCAAGCACGGTTAATTAAAAAAAATATAATGTTGCTACGATATTTTCAGTTTACATCAAACATATGATACAATCAACTGAGAGGTGTGGCGTCTTTTGCTCCTTTTTTACATCCATACTGGCGACCCGTGAAGATTCGGGGTAGAACAGGTCTTCAGCAACACATGCTTGCCGTAAAAGGCGACTATGTTTGTCGTAAAAGGCGACTAACGGGATCGGGTGGTCAGGCTCGCTGACTTGGTTGATGCATGTCATCAATCCCAATTGCGTGGATCGATTCTCATGATATCAATCACTGGATTGTCTGGTCCATACTCTATTATTTACAGACCGCCGTCATATAGCTGGAATATTGGTGAGTGCGGCGAGGAACAACAAACAAACAAACAAACAAACAAACAACATCCATACTGGTGAGTTATTACTTTGGGTTCAATGTTGTTGTCAACAGTCACGTGTGTCTATGATTTTTTGAATAGATAGGCATACACCATGCAGATAACAATGGGGCTGGTTAATAAAATAAGTTAAAATGGTTTCAGTACCAGGAAATACTCGAAAAAACACTATGTATGAAAATTATCTGAAGTTGCTAATTTGTTTGTGGATGTGGATAAGTTAATATACTTAATTTGATATGAAACAGGTTCTTGTGATCAATGTTTCTCTTGATTTTCACTACCTTGACGTGGCATGGGCACATATTTGGTCATTTATTGTTTGATGACGTCACCGCAACCAAACTGGTATCAAATATTTCGAAGGCGTTTTAGAGTGCTACGAACCCAAACATTTAAATATGCTTTGATATTTGGCAATCATAACGATCAACGCCAACGCCAACGCAATGCCAGAGAATAACCAATCTCGATTATCCGAAGAAATAGATGTTATTGGTCGTATGAAATACATCAATGGTTCACTGAAAATCAATGATGGCACCAGGCGTTCGCGAAAAGGATGAGCATGTCTTGCCCAATCGATAACATCCGCCACTCACATAATTTGCGTGTTCAATCAGGCTGGACTTATAATATATGTTTGGCACACCGATAGTGCTGCATTATACACATGGAAAGTGGTTCTGTCTTTTCCAGGTTCGTGGATGTCACGAAAGACAAAGAATCAACATTGCGATTTTCTTGGAACCCATGTTTCAACTTTGACGAACAAGGCTGCCATCAAGCGGAGGTTGTATTTTCAAACCTATGTACTCTTAGTCTTCGATTAAGTAGGCCATTTAACTTTTAACGCTGCACAATAGTCCAGCCATATGACGGCGGCCTGTAAATAATATAGTGATTGATATTGTGAGCTACGATCCACGCCATCGGGTAACGTTGACACGCCTTCGACAAAGTCACCGAGCCTGACCATCCTCCTACCAGCAAACGTTGATAGGGACCAATTCTGGTGTTATTGCACACGGCCTCCTAATATGGTCACCTCTTGGACCCGTGAATCTTCCCGAGGCAAGAGAGTTAACTGACTTTAAAAGTCCAGTTTCCACCCTTGCCGAACTAGGCTTGAATTACTGGGCTCGATCGTAGCGCCACCGGCGGCTATTACCAGTTATGTCCCTTTTAAGCCTCTCCTATGGACCAATCAGATTCCATCACTTGCGTTTGCTTCACGCAAAATGGCGGCGCCCAGTCGATAATCAAGATCTGTATTGTGACGAGTCTTACATCGCGAAATGCATCAAATCACGTAAGCACCTTGATTAGAAACATGAAAAGATTCGGAAAATATCTGCTGACAACGAGTTGGTGGTGCACATGTTTTGCAAATCCTGCAATCGATTGAAATCTGCACGACAGTTTACGAACCGGATTTCGATTTCGGTGCGCGATTTGATAGGACTATGCATAGACACGTTAGTCTAGCCAAAATGTAACTCCATAATACCAGCCTAGTTCGGCAAGGGTGGAAACTGGACTTTCATGGTAAGTTAACTCCCTTGCCTCGGGACGATGGGACCCGTGAAGAACCGGAAAAGAATAGGTCTTCAGCAACCCATGCTTGCCGTAAGAGGCGACTAACGGGGTCGGGTGGTCAGGCTCGCTGACTTGGTTGATGCATGTCATCGATCCCAATTGCGTCGATCGATGCTCATGATATTTAACACTGGGTTGTCTGGTCCAGACTCGATTATTAACAGACCGCCGTCATTGCTGGAATATTGCTGAGTGCGGCGTAAAACAACAAACCAACCAACGAATCAGAGAACGTTTTACAAAATCAGCATCCGCGTGTCGAATTTGCGCAGAAAATATTCCAAGCATTAAGCGAAGAAATATTTTCGAAATATTTTCAAGATTTTCATTAACTGTACCAAGTACTTAGTTCCTTTTATTTATTTGAGTGCAATCTTCATTGTACTTTAACTCGGACAACTGAAAGCTTAACTCAGTGATTGAGAAGCAGTGCTGTTTTTAGGCGATCCGTGCTCAGGTTTCCATATTCCTGCGATGTGCAGTGTTACTTAACACTGTGTAGTCCATGAGCCTCTATAATTGTAAGAGCGAAATGCGCCATCAATAAGTTTCTTTATCGACCAGGTCATCTTATATGGTAGTTAGTGATCATTGTAAAGCCATTTGAAATGAGAACAGGGATCTGATTGGATATCGCATTTTAATCACAATGGACACGAAATGTAGGCTTGAAATGGCAAGGGTGAAAACTAGACTTTTGTAGAGGCTAGTGGACACTCTAACCTCGGAGAAATAACCCGGATCGACAAACTTTGACACGCATGCTCATCAATGTGATATTTACCTTTCAGTTGTGCGCATTGACTCCGCACTTTGACCTCAGCTACAACCTTGGGAATTCGTCACAGGCCAGATTTATACACGACCCCAGTTTCGGTCTTATCCTAGCTTACAACGCTTCTGACATCTACGACAGAAGGTGAAACAACTGGTGATGTCGCTGGCGTGGACCACACTAAATCTCTACTTGAGGGCCCCGTTCCACAAAGCAATGCTAGCGCCAAGATGATCGAAACTCCCATACTTCAACATAGCTTCATGAGAGAGAGAGAGAGAGAGAGAGAGAGAGAGAGAGAGAGAGAGAGAGAGACCGCTTGTACTAGTCCGAAGTAATGCCGATGTTTGAGTGTTATACCATGCCTGAGTTTAACATGAATAGCCCACACAGACCCAGTTTACTGACTCCAAACCGATCAGTCCTTGTTTTAGCCCCTAAATTCCTAACGCCAGACAAGGCACCAACAAGTACCATATTTTAACGTATTTTAGAATGACGCGGCCGGGGATCGAACACATGAGAGAGAGAGAGAGAGGGGGGGGGGGGGGGGGGGGGGGGGGGGGGCGGAGATGTACAAAATGTATAAGAAGCAGATACAGTCCCCGTTGTCCCTAGTATGGTGTCTAACTTTAGTTGCTGGTGATTTTTAGCCTGTTTTATAATGTTTACCTATAAACGTGATGATCCGGGTGAGAATTGTCTTCAACAACCCATGCGTGTCGTAAGAGGCGACCCACGGAATCGGGTGGTCAGTCACCCTGACTTGGTTGATGCATGTCATTGTATACCAATTGTGTAGATCGATGCTTATAATGTCAATCACTGGATTGCATAGCTAGAATATTGCTGAGTGCGGGGTTAAGCAACAAATAATTCAGGAACAAATACGGTTTATAACAGAACTGTTTATATATATCACATACATTTTATTTGCTTTAAGAGTTTTGAAATACATTTCGGGGGTAGTAAAAGCAGATTAATAAAACAACAAATAACAATTGCAGCAACAACGCAACAAAAAATAGTGATCAAATTCAAAAACGCATTATATTTAAAAAATCGTCATTATGCATATTAACTTTGTCAGTGCTGTCGTTATGAATTTAAGATGAACCGTTAGACACCTTGCAAATATACTGTTTCAGCATTTCGATTATCCAGCTCATATGTGACCTGACCGAAGAAGGTATATTCCAAGTTGTTGATGACAGCCCAGCTCAACCATACGTACGTTAATTACTCTATTGTCTATTTATCATGTAGACCGTTGCTATACGTAGCTAACGACATGTACATCGAACATATTTGGAAACATTTGCCTGTTTGTATAGAACCTTCACACTTACAAACGATTTAAGTCGAAAACAAATTCCAGATGTTAGTTTGGATTTGTGCTAATACTCGTTAGTGATATATATCCACAGACACGATTGAAACAGAGACTAGGACACGTAGCCTTTGTTATTGCTCCATACCGAACATTTTTATTTCTGCGAGTAATCGTAATTCGTTTGATTGGCATAACTTAGAAGTTGCCGGATGACAATGTAGAAACAGCAAAGTCTTTACTTTAATGTAATGGCGACATTCCGTTATAGATCCTTGAATAATGATGATGTTGTTGTTGTTGTTGCATTAAGTGTTTAAGATGTCGCCTTCTGCCTCAGCAATTTCGGCTGACCTGTCCCTCTTTGGGACTCCTGTGTGTGAGAAGGGTACACATATCTATTGTGAGTTTGGTATTCACATAATTTCAGTTTGTGTATTGAAATGATTTCTATTTTCTTATATTGGTATAATTTCATTTTTATCCTTGGCTGCTCTGTTTATATACGTTCGAGTAGCTGTCCATCTCTCAGAAATAGAGTAAGTTTGGCCTTTGCGGTTGCATCTCTTGGCTTTAGGAGACCTATGACAGATAGCGGATCAAACTGCAATTCTTGTTTTAACCTAGCCCGGGCTGGGGCATGGTCTTGACATTCTAGTAACAATGAATAATAAACACGGTACAGAATATATATGGTAGGTGGAGGATTAATAGTGACAACAGTTGCATACATGAGAGAGATTAACATGAGAGAGATTAACATGAGGAGGTTAACTAATATTAATAGAAGGATAATACTGTAACAACATGATGGACGAAGAACACACGATGAGGAAGACAAATAAACAGAATAAGTATACATAAGTGGGGTGACTGCTGCTTAGAGGGTTCATAGTAGGCGGATGGGTTGAAGTGTTTCGAGTATTATGCGAAATATATTTTTTAAAGTTTAGAAAGCTTTAAATCTAAAACTAATATTACATATGAAATCATGTAGAAGTATTCTTTGAGAGCATACTATGCTCTGACCAATCGCGATCAAAGTAGATGATATAATGTCGCTCACTTAAGATATTTTCAATTGAAAATCAAACACATGATAAAACCAACTGAGAGAAAAAAATTGATTTTTGCTCCTCAATGAATACTCGTTGATGCCGGTGTCCCGGTATAAACTCTCCCCCGTACAAATTCTCCCCCCGGAGATTTTGAAATAAAATCTCCCCCGGGCGGATATTTTTCGCGCCCCCCTCAGTATAAAGTCTCCCCCCTGATTATTCGGTTTGTTGCAATGTCTTCAAGTGCTATATTCTTTAAATAGTTATCTTTAATTTAAGGAGGGTTGCTTTAAAAAATAGATTATGAAATATGGTCATAATGAATTGATATTTCAGCATATTTTATTTGGTAACTGTACCTTCCATCCTAAAATAATTATAAGACATAATCATACCAAATAAATTTGAATGAAATGATTAATGTAACAAATACAGATTCACGTAAATACGATGATAAACGTTCCACCGGACTCTGAATAACCCGTAAATACCCATACATTCGAACGTTATAAATTGTATCTATTCCATTCTGTTGCACGTTGCAATCATCGATACCTCTAATGATGTTGTGATATTTCTCAGTGTATATAAATATGGTTTGGTTTGGTTGGTTTGTTGTTTAACGCCGCACTCAGCAATATTCCAGCTATATGACGGCGGTCTGTAAATAATCGAGTCTGGACCAGACAATCCAGTGATTGACATCATGAGCATCGATCCACGCAATTGGGATACGATGACATGCACCAACCAAGTCAGCGAGCCTGACCACCCGATCCCGTTAGTCACCTCTTATACGACAAGCATAGTCACCTTTTACGGCAAGCATGGGTTGCTGAAGACCAATTCTACCCCGGAATCTTCACGGGTCGTAAATAAATATGACGATTAGAGCTGATACTTATTGATTTCAACTATAAATTATTAAATATTAAATATTAAGGACAACTTATACCGACCTGCATGGCTATATTTTGCACATTAAACATGTTTGACAGAACATGTTTCAGACACATTTTAAAATTAATGCCGTTCATGTTTTATTATCACGCTTTTTGTGGTCACACATGTGCATTTCATAAACTCTAAAAAATACATCCGTTAACATACATTAGTTGAACAAAAACTATAATATTTCACTCATCCTGCCCGAGATGACCTTTAGTCGTAATGTTATATTCATATCAGAAACTGATATTGGCCGATAACAGTTGACAAGCGGATATCAAATATCTTATTTATGACGGGATGTCACATTTTATGATGCCTCATTATGTTAATATCAGATGTGAAATACATACAATAAACATATATTCATATCCGTATCCATCCGAGCACGAGATGTGATGCTCATCATTGCTCAAACCAACCGTGAAGATCCGGGGTAGAATAGGTCTTCAGCAACCCATGCTTGCCGTGAAAGGTGACTATGCTTGTCGTATAAGAGGTGACTAACGGTATCGGGTGGTCAGGCTCGCTGACTTGGTTGGTGCATGTCATCGTATCCCAATTGCGTGGATCGATGCTCATGATGTCAGTCACTGGATTGATTGGTCCAGACTCTATTATTTACAGACAGCCGTCATATAGCTGAAATATTGCTGAGTGCGGCGTTAAACAACAAAGAAACAGAATTAATCAAACCAGCTTCCCAGCACACGTGTAACTCTAAACACCTTTACCGTCAAGATTCGTCGTACGCGTCTTTCTCCCTCTCTTACATATAAGAGGCCGCCTCCGTGGTCTTGTGGTAGAGCGTCCGCCCGGAGAGCGGAAGGTCGGGGGTTCGATCCCCGGCCGCGTCATACCAAAAGACGTTATCAGATGGTAGTTGTTGTTACCCTGTCAGAAGCTCGGCATTAAGGGGCTAACAACACAAGGACTGGTCGGTTCGGAGTCAGTATACTGTGTCTGAGTAGGGTATTCATGATAAACTGCGACATGGTATCTCAGTGGGCTAGCACTATAAATCGGCAACAGTCCGGACTAGTACAAGCAGACACACACACACACACACACACACACACACACACACACACACACGTGCATGCACTTGCTATATTGGTGCAATAATCTTAGACGCGACGTTAAACCCCACTTCACCTCACCTCTTACATAAAGGATGATACCATGACGATGATAATATAACAACGAGGACAATTATAAGATGACGATGATGATAGTAATTATGTAAGGGAATATTTATGTTGATACTGATTATTACTTGATGGGAATGAAGATATCGATCATTGATGTTAGAGTGTCTTAATAATGGTAAATTAATGATACTTGTAAGGAAGGTGATGCTAATATTAATGACGGTAATAGTACTAATGATGGTAATGATAATTTTAATGCCAACGATTGGGGTAATAATGATGATAATGAAGACATTAATTATGGTAATTATTTTAATTGAATTGATGATATTAATGACAAAAATGGGGGTATTAATGATGATAATAACGACATAAATTATAGTAATTATTTAATTGAAATGATGGTATTAATGATTGTAATAATTTTTGTAATGAGGGTAACGGGGACGACAACGACGATGATGATAACGTTTGTTCGCTGCTGAAATATTTCTACTGCAGTGTAGATGAGAGAGACGGTTTCGACATGTGCACATGATTTGTAAGAGCCCTTTACTTTTCGTCAAACTTACTTTTTTCCTTTTCAGCATTTCATTCTGAGAAGTCAGCACTGTTGTCCAAAGATGCAAAGCACTGTCATCCAAAGATGCAATCCAAACGGTGTACCTGAAAAAGATCTTGCGAATAAACTGCAGTCTTAACGCGTGTTATGATCCCCTAAGTTGAGTGGGTGCGCGAATGTTGTTGAACGCCGCAGTCAGCAGTATTCTGGACATAGTCAATGCCTGTTTCCTCCAGCCGGGGGAAAGCGGCACCCCTGCCTCTGCGCCTCTGCCGTTTAGGTCCCCCCGTTTCTGGCCATATCACCACTAAATAAGATTTGTTTGTGTGTTTGTTGTTAAACGCCGCATTCAACAATATTCCAGCTACATCTTCACCAGACAGTCCTGTGATTGACATCATGAGCATCGATCCACGCAATTGAAATACGATGGTATGCATCAACCAAGTCAGCGAGCCTGACCACCCGATCCCGTTAGTCGCCTCTTACGACAAGCATAGTCGCCTTTTACGGTGAGCATGTGTTACGGAAGAACTGTTCCACATCGGATCTTCACGGGTCCCGCTAAATAAGAAAGTCCAGGCAAAGTAATGACTGCTACCTCTGGGGTATGGGGATGACACACCCGCAAGCCGATTCCAGTTTTAGTCGACGTTATTGAGAAGCACATGGTACTATTGCCTCAAACAGATAATACTGGAATTTCCCTTTACCAGCAATATGAGTGAGTTGGATTAACCTCCTCTTTGAACCGCACTTCAGTCATATCGCGGCTAGTGAGCTTGATGTTGGAAGATGTTTGGTTGGTTGGTTCCTTTACGCCGCACTCAGCAATATTCCAGCTATATGACGGCGGTCTGTAAATAATCGAGAATGGACCAGACAATCCAGTGATAGACATCTTGGGCATCGATCCACCCAATTGGGATCGATGACATGCATCAACCAAGTCAGCGGGCCTGACCACCCAATCCTGTTAGTCGCCTTTTACGACAAGACTAGTCGCCTTTTACTGCAAGCATGGGTTGCTGAAGACCTATTCTTCCCCGGATCTTCACGGGTCTGATGTTGGAAGAAGCCCAAAGTGCAGGTGTAGAAGAAGCCCAAAGTGCAGGTGTAGAAGAAGCCCAAAGTGCAGGTGTAGACGCTTACCAGTTTGGTCAACTCACGAGTAGGGGTATGGTACTGGCAAACTTAGAATAGAATGAGTGTGGGACGCGTGCAGTGTTGCACAACGAATTGGGTCACCTTAGTCGATTGGGCCACCAGTGCTCCCAGCGATATGACGATATGCCTTCAGCTTGCATGTCACTAAAATCTGGTTATGCCAATGGGTCGCCAGTACGAAATGGCCAGTTTCTCAGTGAATGTTCAGTAGAACAGCAACTAACGGCCTGACAAGTCTCGGAGGATGCAGGTATAGATTGTATTGTATTGAATGTTGTTTAACGCCGCACTCGGCAATGCTCAGCTAGATGTAGGTATATGTCGAATGGTAAATATATACAGTGGAACCTTGAAACTCGAGCTCCGTGATATGAGAGGTCGAACCTGAGAAGACATAACTCGTAATAGACCATTGGTGACACCCGACATTGCGACATTAAGGACATTCTTTGTTGTGGATTAGTCTATGCATAGTAAGGGCTGATCGATAATCGTGACAGACAGAATGTACATATGTATGTTATCTAGTGAGTGATCAGTGAGTGAGTTGAGTTTAACCCCGCTTTTAACAGTATTCCAGTTATATCACGGCGTGTCAGCTTAATGTGGGAGGAAAGCCCGAAGTGATGCAGGCCTCAGACGTTTATCATTTCGGTGAAACCCACGAGCACGGGTATGGTGCTAACAAACGTAGAAACATCGGGGCGAACCGGGATTCGAACCCACAATCATAGGTTTCTGGCGTGCCCAAGGGACCCAACTCTGCACAGCGAATTGCGGCGCCTTAGACGACTGGGCCACCCGTGCCCCCTGTATGTTATCTAACTCAGCACCTCAATATTGCGGATACATACAGGTTCGCAGCAACTTAAGCTTGTCGTAAGAAGATACCAAATGGATCGGGTGGATAGGCTCGGTAACGCGGTTAATTGTATATTGTTGTATCCCAATTGCAGGAACGAGACTCATTCGCTGTATTGTATGGACAGAGACCGCCGTCATAAAGTTGTGTGAGTGAGTTGGGTTTAACGCCGCTTTGATAAGTTTTCCAGTTATATCACACCGTGTCCGCTTAATGTGGAAGGAAAGCTCTAAATGGTGCAGGTCTCAAATGTTGGTTTTGGTGAAACCCACAATCACGTGGAAGGTACGGACTAACCTAGTAACATAATCAGGGCGAACCGGGATTTGAACCAACAATCATAGGTTTGTGGCGTACCCAAGGGGCACACAGCGACTTAGATGACTTGACAACCCGTGCTACCCTCATATGGTTGGGGCACTGCTAAGTGCGTTAATCAACAAACAAGGAAACACTCAGGACTGTTAATTACAGAACATCAATGACTGGTACTCCTTTTAACTTTTTAACTTTTATGAGTTTTAACTGTTATCAGGGCAAATATGGGATTCGAATCTACAGCCATCGGATTAGGTCATGCCTAAGAGATACAGCTCTGTACAGCGAATTGATTATGGATCTTCTTTGACGATTATCTCAACCCTCACCCTCGTCTTGAACTTTCAACGGTGTCATCGTCAATACATGTACAGTAAAGTACGTTTATAACAAACTGACGGATATAACGTACTGTTATTTTGGTCCCGGGCATTTGCTATATATATGTGCTTATACTGAACTACGTTTATAACAAACTGACGGATATAACGTACTGTTATTTTGGTCCCGGGCATTTGCTATATATATGTGCTTATACTGAACTACGTTTATAACAAACTGACGGATATAACGTACTGTTATTTTGGTCCCGGGCATTTGCTATATAAATGTGCTTATAAGGAACTACGGTTATAACGAATTACAATTAGTGTCCCCTTTCAGTTCGTTTTAACCGTAGTTTACTGATCAATTGCAGTCCCGAACCTCTGTAATCTACACTGTGAGTGAGTGAGTGAGTATGGTTTTACGCCGCTTTTAGCAATATTCCAGCAATATCGCGGCGGGGGACACCAGAAAATGGGCTTCACACATTGTACCCATGTCGGGAATCGAACCCGGGTCTTCGGCGTGACGAGCAAACGCTTTAACCACTAGGCTACCCGACCGCCCCAACCTACACTGTGGCAAATAGTGGTAGACGGATAGACGGGGTTATGCTTTTCTGTAAGTCTCACTGTGGAGGATAAATCATAATTATAATAAGTTAACTCTATTATTCAATTTTTTTGCTTGTTTTAAACAACATGCCTTTCACTCGTGTGTAGTTAAAACAGAAATGACTGTTAACATTCTAGCGCCTCTCAAGTACCTTAGGCTGTATACTCCAAAGGAAGTTGAGAACGAAATCGAGTGCACACTGATCCACTGACCGGGGTACTAATGGTGTACTTGAGCATTCCCCTGTGTGTTGTGGGAGTATAGCGCAGTATAACTGGCCTATAATTATTACACAAGTAATCGTATCACAAACCTTCAGTCCGAATCAACGAAGGCCCACTTATTCAGATGAAAATGAGTGAAATTGCTTAATATGCCACTTTCTAGTTTAAAAGATAATTGAAAACATAAATTCAAAACATTAAAAAAGGAGAGAAAATATTTAATGTCAGTTTTATTTATGAGCCACAAAATAACCCCAGGCGGTTTTTGAATTATTTATATTAGATACGTGAATAAATCGGAATACAGAATACTGTCAAACCCTGGAAACAACGTCAACTGTCAACAATCCCACTAAATGCATTTGTAAAACAAATTAGATGTTATTTTATACAAGATATGTATAAATACAAACTGTAAAATGACTCTTGTTTTCACCAACCACCAGGGGCCATGGGGCCGACTTGCATCAGTTTCCTTCAAGCTGATCCACACAAGTCGGACGTGTGTGACTACTGAGAAACACCTATGGCTCCTACAACTACAGGTGAGTTTGGTCGCCCAGTGGAATTGTTCATCTCTAGTCTGTGTTTACTTATCCCATTAGAGGCGACTAACGTGATCGGGTGGCACGTCATCGATCCCAATTGCATGGATCAATGCTCATGATGTCAACCACTGGATTGCACAATACTTTTGTTTGTTTGTTTGTTGTTTAACGCCGAATTCAGCAATATTCCAGCTATGTGACGGCGGTCTGTAAATAATAGAGTATGGACCAGACATTCCAGTGATTGACATCATGGGCATCGATCCTCGCAATTGGGACACGATGACATGCATCAAGCAAGTCAGCGAGCCTGACCACCCGATCCCGTTAGCCGCCTTTTACGGCAAGCATGGGTTTCTGAAGACCTATTCTAGCCCGGAATCTTCACGGGTTGCACAATAACATATTCGCGTTATACAAATATACATAGCATCATTATCTATGTAGAAATGTACTGACACATGAGCAGAGCTACGATCCGTGGACACGCCAGAAAACTTTTATTGTTGGTATAATTCCGGTTCGCTCCGTTTGTTTCCATATCCGTGCTCGTGGGCATAACTAAAAGGCCCAACGGCGTTAAACAACAAACCAACCAAACCAGCCAACCAACCATCAGAAGCTTGAACACTTCTACGAGGTAAATAGGGATATGTTGTTCTTCTTTGGGATTGTGAAAAGGGTTTTCTTGTCACAGGGTCCGCTATAATAAAGATGTCAGCTGAGAAGGGACTACTCGACGCCGGGGCCTTTGCTCTTGTAGAGACTGGCAAGTCAGATGTGAGTAGACTGATGTTTCTATGTTTGTTTGTTTGTTGTTTAACGCCGCACTCAGCAATATTCCAGCTATATGACGGCGGTCGGTAAATAATTGAGTCTGGACCAGACATTCCAGTGATTGACATCATGGGCATCGATCCACGCAATTGGGACACGATGACATGCATCAAGCAAGTCAGCGAGCCTGACCACCCGATCCCGTTAGTCGCCTTTACGACAAGCATAGTTGCCTTTTACGGCAAGCATGGGTTGCTGAAGACCTATTCTACCCCGGATCTTCACGGGTCATGTTTTATGATGAAAGTTCAGTTAGTTCAGATCAAGACTGGTCTTGTCATGGAAGACTATTGGATTACCATTTGACTACTGGGTGCAATGCTACAGTATGAAACTTAACGTAAGTCTTTCTGTGTTCGCGTCACGAGACCCGATGCCTGGCTAGAATTGACCTTCAGCAACCTATGTTTGTCGTACGAAGCGACTAAGGCGACCGGGTAGTCCACACTCTATTATTTACACACAGTCGTCATAAAGCTGAACTATTGCTGAATGCGGTGATAACTAACAAACAAACAAAGTTCAGTCCAACGACTGAAGCACTATCCTTGTATAGTAATATTCCAGCTATATGACGGCGGTCTGTAAATAATCGAGTCTGGACCAGACAATGTAGTGATGGATGTCATGAGCATCGATCCACGCAAATGGGATACAGTGACATGCATCAACCAAGTCAGCGAGCCTGACCACCCGATCATGTTAGTCGCCTCTTATGACAAGCATATTCGCCTTTTACGGCAAGCATTGGTTGCTGAAGACCTAATCTACACCGGATCTACACGGGCACTGTAACTCACTCTCCTTTAGATATGCCGTAGTTAGTTGCAACAGGACACCTTTAGCTAGTTATTTGATAAAGAACCTGAAATTTTGCTCAACAGGATCTGCAAAAGTGCAAATCGTGTATTATAATATCATAAAATATATCCATTTCTCCATTTGTAAATGATAAAGACGGACAAAGCGGACTTCGAGGAAAATGGACTTCTGACACATTTGGATGACCTGTCAGTCGAAGAGGAGGAAAGAGAAGAAGAGAGAGAAGATGAGGAGGAGTTTCGAGAGTTCTACTTGAAATGTGGAGGAAATGTGGCTAAAACGAGAGCCGCAATCTTACACAAATTGAGTCAACACAAAACGATCATCGGACGCGTTGTAGGGTCAGTTATATTAATAGTCTATCTTGTGTACCTTGGGTTCTGCATGGACTACGCATTTGGAGATGAAGGCTCAATCCGGCTTGTCTGGGGGACGTGTTTTGTCTTGTTTATTATTGGGTACAGCAACTTCAGCGAGAAAATCTTCAAAAAGATTGGAGGTGTTTGCAGATGCCAGACGCTGAGAAGGCCCGTGGTTCGGAAGGGAATCAGATGGTGAGATTTATACCGTCTTTGAGATGGATATTATTCACTTTTTGTTCTATGTACTACTATTGTTTTGTTTTTGTTTGTTTGTTGTTTAACGCCGCACTCAGCAATATTCCAGCTATATGACGGCGGTCTGTAAATAATCGAGTCTGGAACAGACAATCCAGTATAATGAGCATCGATCCACGTAATTGGGATCGATGACCTGCATCAGTCAAGTCAGCGAGCCTGACCACTCGATCCCGTTAGTCGCCTCTAACGACAAGCATAGTCGCCTTTATATACTTCTAAAAAGGAATTTGCCATCGTAATATGAAAGAATCGGATGGTCCATATATTCTTTGTCTATACTACTCAAAATATATGGACCATCCGATTCTTTCATTTTACTATCATGGCAGATTACCTATGGTAATATGAAAGAATCGGGTGGTCCTTAACATATTATCAGGAGTCAGTGAATTTATGGAATGTTGTAACACCAGCATGCTCACTCCCTCACACACTGTCCCTTGAAGATTCCGGGTTAGAATTGGTCTCCAGCAACCCATGCTTGCCATAAAAGGCGAATATCGGGATGAGGTTGTCAGGCTCGGTGACTTGGTTGATGCATTTCAATTCAATTTTCTGGTCCAGACTATTATTTGCAGACCACTGTCACATAACTTGAATGTTCCTGAGTGCGGCATTAAACAACAAACAAACTGGACCAACTGTTCAGACTCGATTATTTACAAACTGCCGTCATGTTGCTTGAATGTTGCTTAGTGCGGCGTTAAATATCAACCAAACCAAACTCTCTCACTAATATTGTCTGAAATTGCCGAAACAGTTCACAAGTGATTGTGATGGTTTTAATCATTGTATATGTGCTGGCATATGATGTTTAATTATTACCTTGCAATGTGATAAGAAGCTGTATCACATCTGACCCGTGAAGATTCCGGGGTAGAATAGGTCTTCAGCAACCCATGCTTGCCGTAAAAGGTGACTATGCTTGTCGTAAAAGACGACTAACGGGATCGGGTGGTCAGGCTCGATTATTTGGTTGATGCATGTCATCGATCCCAATTGCGTGGATCGATGCTCATGATATCAATCACTGGATTGTCTGGTCCAGACTCGATTATTTACAGACCGTCGTCATATAGCTGGAATATTGCTGAGTGCGGCGTTAAACAACCAACCAACCAACCAACCAACCAACCACTTATATTGTCTGAAATTGCCGAAACAGTTCACAAGTGATTGTGATGGTTTTTATCATTGTACATGTATATGTGCTGGCATATGATGTTATTATTACATTGTAATGTGATAAGAAGCTGTATCACATCTGTAAAAACCGTTTCTCATACCATTTTCTGCTGCTGTTTCAGGTTCCTCTACCTGTCCATACTTGCGTTGATTATCACTTACCTGTGTCTAACCATTCTCCAAACAAGTCCAGAGAACTTCATCTCCCTCGCAGGACTGGTCTTCTTCATAATTATTGGTTACATTTTCTCCAAACGCCCAGACCTGGTAATATGTCTTTGTTTTGTTTCTTGTTTAACCCATCTTCCCGAGGCAAGAGAGTTAACTGACTATAAAGGTCCAGTTTCCACCCTTGCCGAAATGGACTGGTATTATGGAGTTACATTTTGGCTGGACTAACGAGTCTATGCATAATCCAATCAAATTCGCGCACCGAAATCGAAATCCGGTTCGTAAACTGTCGTGCAGATTTCGGTCGATTGCAGGGTTTGCAAAGCATGTGCACCGCCAACTCCTTGTCAGCAGATATTTTCCAAATCTTTTCAAGCTTTTAATCAAGGTGCTTACGTGATTTGATGCATTTCGCGATGTAAGACCCGTTTTATCACAATATATATCTTGATTATCGATCAGATCGTTTTGACTGGGCGCATCCATTTTGCGTGAAGTGAATGCAAGTGATACGAGAGGTGGAATCTGATTGGTCCATAGGAGAGGCTTAGAAGGGACATAACTGGTAATAGCCACTGGTGGCGCTACGATCCAGCCCAGCCTAGTTCGGCAAGGGTGGAAACTGGACTTTTAAAGTCAGTTCACTCTCTTGCCTCCGGAAGATGTGTTTAACGGCGCACTGAACAATAATCCAGCTGTATGACGGCGATCACAGAAATATTCGGGATAGGAACTAAGAATCTTCAAGAGAGATCTGGTAATAAGTTTATTCATTACAATTATGTCAATTATATCATTTAATAAATCAGGTTAGAATAGGTCTTCAGCAACTCATGCTTGCCGTAAAAGGCGACTATGCTTGTCGTAAGAGGCGATTGCTGACTGCGGTGTTAAACAACAAACAAACAAACTTTTAATAAACTTAATGCAGGGTTGGCCTAGTTTCTAATGCATCACAATTCTATGTCCAGAGATGCCCTTGGCATGTCAGAATCCTAAGATCGTGGCTCCAATCTCGCATCTGCAATGATCATTATTCTTGGTCTTTCAGCACCAAACCTGTGTTAGTGATCATGGGTTTCACCAAAGTGATAACCGTCTGAGACCAACATGACTTGGTGTTTTATTCAACATTAAGCCGAAACCCTGTGACATAACTGAAATATAGCTTTAAACTCACATACTCAACACCCATTAAGTCTCGACTGGCTGTCAGTTATGAGGTGAGGTGAGGTGAAATTGGGTTTAACGTCGCGTCCAAGATTATTGCACTTATAGAGTGACGTGCATGCACGTGTGTGTGTGTGTGTGGCTGCTTGTACTAGAACGGACTGATGCCGATTTATAGTGCTAGCTCACTGAGATATCATGCCGCAGTTTAACATGTACCTCACTCAGACACAGTATACTGACTCCGAGCCGACCAGTCCTTGCTTTAACCCTTTAATGCCGAGCGCCAGACATGGTAACAACAAGTACCATCTTTAAACGTATTTTGGTATGACGCGGCCGGGGATCGAACCCCGGACTTTCCGCTCTCCGGGCGGACACTCTACCACTAGACCACGGAGGCGGTCTTGTCAGTTATGAAGCTATGCATGAAGACTTATGATTCAGTTGTCTTGATGTTTGAATTCCATTTCATATTTATCAATCAATATTACCAAAAACTCAATGACAAATTTAATTACGGATGATAAGTTAATATACATTAAATGCAAAAAACCCCACTTAAAATCACAATTTGAAATAGCAATCCAAATCTGTATTGAGAAATCTTTCATTTCCTTCAGGTAAACTGGCATGCAGTGTTTTGGGGGATTACCACCCAGTTCCTGTTTGCGCTGTTCATCCTCAGGTCCAGATTTGGATACAGTGTTTTCAACTGGCTGGGGGCGAGACTCGAAGGGTACATGAGGCACACAGACAAAGGCTCTCAATTTGTGTTTGGGGACAGCTTCAGAGATCACCAGTTTATATTTGTGGTGCGTTTGTCTTTTTGTAGTTGACAGCCGTCCCCACCCCTCCCTTTAAATACATGAATGTGGTCGGTATGTAGTATCATTATCATTATGGACCCGTGAAGATTCCGGGGTAGAATAGGTCTTCAGCAACCCATGCTTGCCGTAAAAGGTGACGATGCTTGTCATAAAAGGCGACTTACGGGATCGGGTGGTCAGACTCGCTGACTTGGTTGATCGTGTCATCGATCCCAATTGCGCGGATCGATGCTCATGACATTAATCACTGGATTGTCTGGTCCAGACTCGATTATTTACAGACCGCCGTCATATAGCTGGGATATTGCTGAGTGCGGCGTTAAACAACAAACCAACCAAAATGTATGTCTGTACCTGGAGGTGGCCGATATAAGCCTTCGTGGTGACCATGTAGACAAAAGCCATCAGCCAAACGTCCCAGTCGTCTTAGGCACCGTGATTCGCTGACAGAGTTGCGTCCCTTGGGCCCGCAAAAAACCTATGATTGTGGGTTCGAATCCCGGTTCGCCCCGATTATGTTTCTACGTTTGTTAGCACCATACCCGTGCTCGTGGGTTTCACCGAAGTGATAAACGTCTGAGGCCTGCATCACTTCGGGCTTTCCTCCCACATTAAGCTGACACGCCGTGATATAACTGGAATACTGTTAAAAGCAGCGTTAACCCAACTCACTCACTCCTGTAGATACATGCCCCTCGAGGTGTCCGGTATATGGTTTCTTTTTTTGTCTTGTAGCTGACAAAAGCAGTCAGCATCACTACATGTAGATGTGGTGGGTATATGGTATTTTGGTGACCATATGGTTGTCGATAACCACTCTCGTCATAATGGCAAGACAGGATTGTATGAAACCATCTGAAAATTTTATGCAAAGAAAGACATCTTCATACGTCGAAGAACAAATCGAATGATCATTTCAAAGTTCAAATAACGTGAATCTTGACAGAAAACTGGGTAAACCATTGACGACTTTTGTAGTAAATGAACAATTCTTTTAGTTGACTAGCTCTTCAGCAACCCATACTTGCCGAAAAAGGTGACTATGCTTGTCGTAAAAGGCGACTAACGGGATTGGGTGGTCAGGCTCGCTGACTTGGTTGATGATGTCATCGATCCCAATTGCGAGGATCGATGCTCATGATGTGAATCACTGGATTGTCTGGTCCAGACTCGATTATTTAAAGACCGCCGGCATATAGATTGAATATTGCTGAGTGCGGCGTTAAGCAACAGACCAATTTTAGCTGACACTTATCTTATTTATATTTGATCTTTGAATCTTGCCAAACACTGATGGTAAATGTTCTTGTGTACCATCAAAGAAGAATTGTAATGGTGACATCGTTTCAGATGTGATTTGTTTTATCATTTCAGACAATGCCACTGATTATTTTCATGAGTTCCACAGTCAACATGCTGTACCACTATGGGGTGCTCCAAGCTATTGTCAAGAACTTCGGGAAGTTTCTCTACTTCTGTATGGGTACGAGCGCTATTGAATCTGTGAACGCTGCCTTCAACATGTTTCTTGGACCTGTGAGTACACAAAATGCTTACTGTGACTAGAATCTTCTCCATTGTCTCAAGCCTAACCTTTCTTGTACAGCGTGGCACGTTCTGAGCCTAACTACAAAGGATGTATAGTACTCTCATATCTGGTTTCATGATAAGAGGGACCCGTGAAGATTCCGGGGTAGAATAGGTCTTCAGCAACCCATGCTTGCCGTAAAAGGTGACTATGCTTGTCGTAAAAGGCGACTAACGGGATCGGGTGGTCAGGCTCGCTGACTTGGTTGATGATATCATCGATCCAAATTGCGTGGATCGATGCTCATGATGTCAATCACTGGATTGTCTGGTCCAGACTCGATTATTTACAGACCGATGCCTTTTCTGAAGGCATCAAAGTGACTTGGTATTCCCTGTTTATGAAAATGGACAAAATTGGTATGAGGATGACCAACATCTCCAAATGAAAATATGCAGGCAGATATGGTGTCATTGTCAGAAGTGTACGGACCATTGAGATTTTATGTTGAAAATAATCAGCAACCAACTCCATCAACTCAGGCAATCATAGCTGGACCCAGATCTTTTCAACCGCCCTGTGTATATCGACATCACTCATCCTTATGCAGATTGGCCCTCTTTGTAGGTATACTCACATGAAAATGAAACTAAGTGAACATCAAATGTTAAATGTAATAATCAGAATTGTATTTGTTTACCAAGCTGTGGTGTGTATTGCCTGATTCTTCGGATGTTCCCACTTCAGTCCGAGGCTCCAATGGCTATTAAACCCTTCCTGCCACTACTGACTGCATCCGAGATGCACGCCATCATGGTGGCAACATTCGCCAGTATTTCTGGAAGTGTTTTTGGAATGCTTGTGAACTTTGGAGTAAGTAATATCTTATCATTGTCTCTTCATCCACATACACATACTTAGCGGCTAGATGTCGGGAGACTTCATAATGCAGATAGTGCCGTTCTTTGTCGGTGGATCAACCCATATCTAGTCACCTCCCTCCCCATCCGGCAGCCCCCTCCAAATCTAGTCTACCCCATCTAATATGATCCCCCATCTAATCTACCCAATCTAGTCTGACACCCCATCTAGTCAATAGTTCTGGCAATTTCCTGTGTGCATTAAACTCCTTGACTAGAGGTAGCATGTGTGCAACAGAACCGTTGAAGGTAAACATATACTCTTATCTACCCGTCTGGTCTACCCCCATCTTGTCTGACACCCCATCTAGTCTGACTCTCCATCAACTTGTCTAACCCCATCTCGTCTGACACCCCATCTGGTCGATATTTCTGGCAATGTCCAGGGTGTATTACGCTCCTTGATAAGAGGTAACGTGAGTACAGCACAACACTGATTTTTGTTTTACAGTAACATTAACTTTCAGTTTCTCATTTATGTCAGACGTGAGCGAAACTAAATTCGCTGTCATATATAGGAATCTCAGAATAAAATAACACCGCTTAAAACGTTAACGTTTCTGCGTGTATGCTGCTGCCTTAATGTTTTGTTGGAGTAAAAAATATTGAAATATTGAAACGACTTTTATCACAGTAAACAAATTACATTCTTCAAACCAGCATAACAGCTCTGTTTGAGGATAAGTAATTGTAACAATACTGAAGTCATCTAAATCAATAACAGGACAATGCAGTCAGTAATATTGTTGTATATTTGCTGTTAGTTAGGTCCCAGACATGTTGTACATGTATGTATTAACTATATACTACTACAATTTGCTGAGGATAACAACTTTAAAGGATAACACATGTTATATTTGGGATAACACTTTCTGAGTAAAGTACAGATTCTCGTACTTTTTTGGTTTGAGTCCCGTCCGGGATTCGAACCCACACTGCCAGAATGAGGCACCTAATCGCCAGCACACAAAGTCAGCGATCTATCCCACTCAGCCACCGAGGCTTCCACAAAATGAAAGTTCGACAACTGGTAGTCTAGATCACATACTTTGTGTACCCCTCTGACAAGTGTAAATTGGCACGGCTCCCATGGCCGAAAGCTATGAACACACAATGCCATTAAGAAAGTGGTCAAATGTAACAAATGTTGATAACACTTTCCGAGAAAAGTAAAGATTCACGTACTTTTTTGGGCTGAGGTCCGTCCGGGATTGGAACCCGCACCGCCAGAGTGAGGCACCTAATCGCCAGCACACAAAGTGTTATCTTAAATATAACATTTGTTACATTTGACCACTTTCTAAATGGCATTGTGTGTTCATAACTTTGAAAGGTAATACGTCAAATTGTGCGCATCTGTTGAAATAGCCAAAGGCAATATTGCGTGAATAAATGTTAACAAAATTCCGTTGTCATTTTCCACACAATGCCATAACACACCATATGACCAATAATCAGTCAGATCACCCGTCAAAATGAGAGTCTCTGACCAAACCAGTGTAACAGTGAAAACAAATTCCGAGAAGCGCGTATGTGATGCACGTGATGCGATAATACCCTGGCACCATGTCTCATGCTCCCAATAAGTGTCTGGATCCATTCATCATGGTTGCCAAGGGAAGTTTGTTCCTCTCTTAATTAGATCATTGCCGAGTTCCTGTCGATTAGCTGGAAGTACATGGCGAGACAGGAGATATGGAGTTCGTTCCACATGTCTTCGAAAGGGTTGAGGTCTAGTGACCGGGCTGGCCACTCCATGCAGACACTGGTCATCTGCACTAAGTAGGCATCAACGACCCTGGCACGATAGGTCATTATTGTTATCGTCCATGAGGATGAAGTTTGGTCCGATTGCACCAGCAGATGGTCTCATGTTCACATCCAGAATGGCATCCCTGTGGCGCACACCTGTCACCTTGCCCTGCTGTAGGGCATGGAGATCTTCCAGGTCTGACACCACCCCAAATCATGATTGAGCTAGCCAGTATTTCGATTCATCAGTGAAAAGCTCTGGAGCCCAGTCCTGGTCTGTCTAATTGACGTCATCTTCAGCCCAATTCAAAAGTGCCTGCCTAAAATGTCGGGTTAGTGGGATGCAAAATCATGCTCTCCATGACCGGAGACCAGCCTCAAGGAGATGATTATGCACTGTCTAAGTAGAAACGTCATTGCCACTTTCCGCAGGTCATTTCTGAGTGTGGTGGCAGTCACGCAGTGATGACGTCTTGTTGCAATCAGATGAAACGTGTCTTATCTCTGTGTTGTGGAACGATGTCGACCACGTGCATGTCGTTGGTTAGCTGATCCAAACGTCTGGTATCGATTCCATGGCCTGCTGATCACATTTTGGCTGACACCATGTAGCATAGTGGTTAAAGAGTTCGCTCATCACACTGAAGACCCAGGTTTGATTCATGTGAAGTCTTTTTCTGGCGTAAAATAAACCCACTCCCTCACACTTAAATGGGGTTTCTGTGTGATGTTTCCTGTCATAAGTATTCCCTTGCAGGCACCAGCCAACCACCTTCTCACAGCGTCTGTGATGTCTGCCCCCGCCGCGCTCGCCATGGCCAAACTGACCATGCCGGAGACAAGAAGGACAAGGGTCCAACCAGAGGATGCTTACAATATAAGAATGGCGTGAGTTGCAATAAGGAATGTATTGCACTCGACATGGTACCGCCCATAATTAAACCGACCATTAAACTGGCGCTAATGTTCATGCAGGCACACGATTTGTTGTAAAAAAAATAGAGGATGTTGTATTTATTTGCCAACCAACATAATTAGCACATCGTGTGACCTGACAAAGTTGATATCTTCAGTTTTCACATAATACATAATGTCATAATGTCAAGTACACAATAAACAAAGTACACAAATATACTTCGGAAATGTCAGACGTAACAAATTGTAATCCCACATGAGGAACACATGTGTTTCCCCACAAACACGCACAGAAATCTTAGTAAATTGAGACGTATTCGTTTATTGTGTATTTGGGGTATCATCACATGTAGTGGATGTCAGGCCTTTGGAACCCTATTGTCTGCTGGATCAAACATACGATGCCTGAAACCTGAAAACTGTAACAAAAGCAAGCCTCTCTCTAATATTTGTGTCTCTAAACGGGGTTCATAGGAACTTATTATTAATCTTCCAGCAAATTTCAGAGCGTACTAGAAGCGATATCTATCGGCGCGGTTGACGGCATCGCACTGGCGTCCACAGTCGTTGTCAACCAGATCGTCTTCATCGCTGCTATTGAATGTATAGACACCGCATTTCAATGGTTTGGTGTCAGGGTTGGAGTGCCTGGCGTGACGTTTTCGGTATGTCTATTGTCAGACTTTTGTAGAGGTTGACGTAGTGTATTGACGTAACCTAGCGAAACGCTGAGGCGTCTCGCCTAGCCATACATTTCAAACACCTATTATTGTACACCTTAGGCATGGAGAGTGAGTTGGGTTTAACACCGCTTTTAACAGTATTCCAGTTATATCGCGGCGTGTCAGCTTAATGTGGGAGCAGAGCCCGAAGTGATGCAGGTCTCACACGTTTACCACTTCTGTAAAACCCACGATCACGGGTATGGTGCTGACAAACCTAGAAACATAATCGGGGCGAACCGGGATTCGAACCCACACTCATAAGTTTCTGGCGTGTCCAAGGGACGCAACTCTGCACAGAGAATTGCGGCGCCTTCATATACAATGCATGTCCATATATCATGCGTTAAAAAACAAAATGATGCAGAATGTGTGTATTTGTTTGATGTCTTTTTATTCGTTATGTCGCATGAGCTGACCAAATTGGATCATAGATATCATTTCCTGATAAAGCCAAAGACAACATAAGCTAAGGGTAGTTTTTCCTATTCTATGGAGCATGTGTCGCTTGGGTTCGACTCTGACTCTGTGTCTGTGCTCAACAGCTAAATAGTATTCGAATGGAGGTCATTCGACTCTGAAACGTTGCTCGTATGCAAGCTCGGTCATTTTGATCCGATTAAATAATTGAGAATAAACCATCCAGAGATTGTTACACAATATGAATTGAAGGTGTCACGCTCATTCATGTTTGCCATGTGCTGAAAGTTGTCTCTCTTCTCTTCTCCGCAGCTCCTCTGTTCCTATATGTTCTATCCTCTGGCCTATATTATGGGCTTCCCCAAGGTCGACCTCTTCAAGATAGGGGAACTGATGGGCATCAAAATCTTCGCCAATTCTTTTGTTGGATTTATGGAGTTTGGCAGGCTGGTCCTTAACAGAAAGGATCTCGAGCAGTACCAGCTGGTTCACAATGGCACCTGGCACTGGCAAGATGGCAACGTTATATTGGACGCAACCAATGTAACATTGGTCGGTGGAATTCTTGAGGTTAGTAGTTTGTTTGTTGTTTAACGAGCAAACAATCCAGTGACTGACATCATGAGAATCGATCTACGCAATTGGGTTTCGGTTTGGTTTGGTTTAGTTTGTTGTTTTACGCCTCACTCAGCAATATTCCAGCTACATGACGGCGGTCTGTAAATAATCGAGTCTGGACCAGACAATCAAGTGAATTACATCATGAACATCGATCCACGCAATTGGGATCGATGACATGCATCAACCAAGTCAGCGATCCTGACCACCCGATCCCGTTAGTCGCCTTTTACGACAAGCATAGTCGCCTTTTACGGCAAGCATGGGTTGCTGAAGACCTATCCTAGCCCGGATCTTCTCGGGTCTACGCAATTGGGATCCGATGACATGTATCAACCAAGTCAGCGAGTCTGACCACCCGATCCCGTTAGTCGTCTCTTACGATAAGCATAGTCGCCATTTACGGCAAACATGGGTTGTTGAACACCTATTCTACCCCGGATCTTCACAGTGTCAGGTTAGAAGGTAGGGCTGTCATGTAAACCATGGGGAAAGTCAACCTGTTTCTGCAGGTGTATCGAGTCTGTCTGTAACCGATATCAGATATCTGCAAACAGGTGTGCTAGAATGCCTTTTTTGGTACTGGCGTTCATAGATTCAACCATTTCTTTCATAAATGTTAGGAAAATGATAGGGCTCAGTGTACACCCTTGTCTGAGAACCGGTAGAACAGTCAAAATAGATAGTTTTATTCCCTGCTCAATGACTACAACAGATTTAACATTAGCATGCAAAATTTGAAGCACCTTTAAAATCATTCTACATAGACTATTCTACAAAAGACGATCAACATCTTTCTTTAGTAACGGTACAATAATAGCACCAGCCCAAGCATGTGGAAACTGACCGTTATAATTTCTGTAACAACCGAGCAAGGTATAGTACAATTGGATCTTTAATATTTTAAAAGAATTCAGATGAGAGACGATCATCTTACGGTGATTTATTAATCTTTAAAATATCTAAAAGACCATGATAGCTGTATAGCCCGTTGATGTCCCAGTATGAGGAGGATGTATCTGATGTAGAGTTGTCAAGGTCAAGGCCAGATGCCTACACTTTGTTGTTTGACGGGTTTGTGGCACATCAGTCGATTCGGCATTTCTTCCCATGTCTCCAGCGCAAGATAGAATGCATGTAAACTCTTTGTCGACCCATAACTGGACCAGTAGTACAATATCCTGAGGCTGCGTGTTCTGCGTCCAATGTCTAAAGTTCGTCACTGTCACGTCGTTTCCTTTTTTTCATAAACGGAAATGCGTATGAAAATACGGCAGCAGATCGTTGGATTAACTCACCGACATGTCCAAAAAGTTGGAAAACACAGTCCGGAAGACTGCCGGTTGTCCATGCCCTTCTCTCAGTCCGACCGCGTTGAGTAGAAAACCATCCAATCCTCTATCTCCACAGTTCCAACATTATCCCAAATACTTGAATTTACAAGCAAATTTCAAACTTTCAAGTCTGTGTGGCTATTTGGTAGATAAAGAGGGTAGACACGTGTGCTCCTAAAACAAGGTCCGACCTGTTCGGCGCATGTGCATATTACCAGTAGGTTGGATGTGTGAATTCAGGTGTCGGTCAGCGTCGGCATTAATCTGCGTATTTTCCTTTCATATTGTCAAACTGAGGCTTTCATCATGATACTTCAACGAGAAGCTATCAAATATAATTAAGGACTCCCAAAAGATGAAGCGACACTTGCAACATGTATTTCTAAAGTGGTATGACGTCGTAATGTTAGCTAAAAGTCGAAGAATTAAAAGGTAGTCTGCTTGTCGTTACTGCAATGCATTATGAAGGGACGCCAGGTCTTACTGTGTCAAATAAGGTTGTGTCATTATGTCACAAAAATCCGGAATCGTTTCACATCGGACAAAGTGTGAACCCTATTTCTGGTGTCACCCGCTGTGACAGTGCTCGGATATGGCTACAAGCGGCACAAAATCCAAACCACTCACTGTTATCGTTTACGTGACATTTCGCAACTTAAAATCAGCATTTGTTACTATCTATTGATCAGGTTTGAGATATCTTTTCTTACAAATAAGTACTTTTTTGCGGTGATGTCATCAACTAAATCACGTTAAAGACCGCCGATCAGAATGCGGGATTCTAAATGGTCAAAATGGCATGTATCGTAATGGTTGTCTTGTCCAACATTTAATTTCAGAAACGTTCTGAGGTGCTTGGTACGTATGCCTTATGTGGACTCAACCATATAGGAGCTGTTGGTGTTGCCATGGGAACGTTGATCGCTCTTTGCCCTGAACGGAGGACCACTATCACCAAATATGTCCTGAGGGCGAACGTGACTGGGCAGATGGCCTGTTTTATGACAGCATGCATCGCAGGTGAGCAAGTAGAAGTGGGTGAAATATGTGATACGATCCCGTTAGTCGCCTCTTATGACAAGCATGGGTTGCTGAAGACCCATCCTAGCCCCAATTGTCACGTCTGAAGCCCAATTGTGAAAACGAAACGTGAAGATGCGGGGTAGAATAAGTCTTCAGCAACCCATGCTTGCCGTAAAAGGCGACTATGCTTGTCGTAGGAGGCGACCAACGGGATCGAGTGGTAAGGCTCGCTGACTTGGTTGATGCATGTCATCGTATCCCAATTGCGTGGATCGATGCTCATGTTTTTAATCACTGGATTGTCTGGTTACAGACCGCCGTCATATAGCTGGAATATTGCTGAGTGCGACGTTAAACAACAAACCATACCAACCAAGGAGTGATTTAGTTATGTTTGACGCTGATTTACACAGTATACATCAGTTATTCCACCAAGTGTGAGAAAAGCCCGAACTGATTCAGGTATGCGATGTTTACATTTTGGTGCAACCTACAAGCGTGAAGGCCATTGATGGCGTTACTCTGCTGTGGTGTGGTTGGAATATTGCAAAAATCCATAAATCCATATTCACTCACTCGTGTTTATGTTTAATGAACTTTTTTTCTGTTTCTCTCAGGTTTGCTATACGATGAATCTTTACAGTCAGCGTGAACAACTTTAACAGTGCGGTTGTGTTGTAGCTGGTGCAATGGGGACCAGTTCAATATCACATTTTATCATTACGTTTCAGATTTGGAACACCACCCATGTTTGCAATAAACGGATTATAGCTGAGTGTGTTTCCGTATCATGAATACCATATTGGCCCTTAATGGTCTTACGATTCGGGGGTAATCTGCCATCAGGATCTCCTTAGAATATCAGAAAACCGAAACCATCACTTTGCCAGCAGGTAGAACAGACTTTGCCTTCTTCGTCGGAGGTGCCGTTAGATGTTTTGACTGTTTAGTCTCTCATAGTGGGGAACCCATGGTTTCAAATCACTCAACAAAATGAGCTCGGTCTTCTTCGAAACTTGTTGATTCTCTCGAATGATAGTGAATTGGGGCGTTTCTGATCTGGAGTCAGAAGCATTGGAACACCACAGCGTGCTGAAACCTTTGTCATCATGCCCATTTCATTACTTAGAATTGTCTTACCACTCCTATGAGAGGTGTCCGGTTTATTGGCTATGTGACGGTTGGTCGTCCTGATCTTGGATCATCTTTGAGGTTCTCACTTCCCCTCTTTAACTCCGCTGCCCACCCCTTTACAATCGCAAAGGAAGGAGCAACATCTCCAAAAATATTTTATTCATCTCAGTAAGTGTATACAGCATACATCAGTGATATACAATGTAATTCCCATTTCAAAAGCATGTTGTACAGAGTGTCATGGTATGAAGAAATTCATATCTAAAAAATACATTGTATTTTGTTAAATCCATTTTCGCTCAAATTTTGCAAGACTCTTTTTTTTTTGCCACGTATTTTTCCACTACTATAGTATCCCTAGAAGTCTCAAGAATGCATCTAGGTGGAGTTTACTGGCTTTAATACTTGAACTGTAGATTTTTCTTTTAGCAGAAAAAATGATACAATTCATCAAATCGTAACCAGTATGCAGTAATGTCTGTATATATCCAATTGTGTTTTAACATATAATGACAACTCACTCCAAAATCCCTTCACATGATCACAGGACACAAAGAGATGTTTCCTATTTCCAGGCTCATTCCCCCAGAAAGTACAGACATTTTTATTGGTTATCTTCATCTGTTGCAGTTCCCGTTTGGTGTATACTATTTGATGAATTGACTATATTGAAAGTCTAGCAACTTAGTGTCTTTTGTGCATCTTCTATAATCAGGACATATATTATTCCATGGTACACTGACATTTATCAGGTTTGCCCATGTATAGCAACCTGGGTGATCTGATTCAGCTTTCATGAGTGTATCATAAAATATTCGGCAACCTTTTGAAGGCGTAATCAAACTTTTCTGCACCTTATTAATTCTCATATTCTGTATCACAGTATTTGCACCGTAAACAGCTTTCCTCATGGATCTAGGAATATTCTTAAAACATTTTTCATAGTCTAGAAAAGTGCCCATGACGTATTTTTTCTTACATACGGTAAAGGGGAGTATACCTTCATCATTGCAAAGATCTTTAATTGTGTGAATACCCTTATTATGCTGATTTTGTGAATACCCTTATTATGCTGATTGTTTGAATACCCATTTTAGGCTAATCGTGAGAATACCCTTATTATGCTAATTGTGTGAATACCCTTTTTATGCTAATTGTGAATAATAAGACTGACTGAGTATGGTTTTACGCCGCTTTTAGCAATATTCCAGCAATATCACGGCGGGGGACACCAGAAATGGGCTTCACACATTGTACCCATGTCGGGAATCGAACCCGGGTCTTCGGCGTGACGAGCAAACGCTTTAACTACTAGGCTACCCGACCGCCCCGTAAATAATAAGATGTGGGTTTGAAAAATGGTGACGCCAGAGTGGTTCAAGTAATATATTAGATTAGTTTTCAAGTGCGATCTTCATGTATATCTCTTCCACGAGGAGTAAGCCTCTCTCCAGAATGGGTTATAAATAGTGGAAAAGTAATTCTTAGTTCAGCGTACTTCGTGCTGCTTGTTTTCAAAGTGCTCATACGGATTACAGTGTAAACAACTGAAATATGTTTTGACGTGAAATAGTCCTTTTAGGGTAGAATATGCGAGTTACGATCATCTTTGCGATATATAAGAATATAAATGACCAGTAAACAGAGACAAGTATAGGGAGTAAAAATAAATTGAACCCCATAACATATATTTAGCTTTTTAGTTTAATGTGATATTCACATGGCCCAGCTGAACATAATGGAATTGAGACTTACATACAATACTTGCAACAATAAGTCCTTAAAACATCATCATTTTCAAGTGTTTTTCCTCAGTCTCCAGTGGCTATGAGACCAAACTTTATTCACTCATATCCCTTAGGGAAAGCACTGGTTACATATTTATGTACTTCACGGTGTCCCTCTCCGTGATATTGCTGGAATATTGCTAAAAGCGGCGTAAAGCCATATTCACTCACTCAAAGCATGATTGGGAATGAACACCTGTTCTGTAAAACATGAAATTTCACATAATTGGAGCAGCAAGATTTGTCTATATCATGTTCCAGATTTCATATCACAAGGATGTAATGCAGATGGTCAGTACTGACGTCAAGTTCACTATCTGTGCTTGCATAACCGCATGGCAACGTCTTGGCATTGACTGCATTAGTCTCCTGCAGGGTTCGAGCCAGTACATGAAGTGTTGCAGGATGTGGTTGACGAATCGGCCAAGTTCATCCCAATGAGGCTCAAGTGGGTTTACATCTGGCGACATGGTTGGCTAAGGAAGCATATTTACGTTGATATTGGCTAGAAAAGTTCCCATGGCGCGGGCCGTGTGCATCCTGGCGTTGTCATGTTGGAAAATATCACGTTGAACGTCAGTGGCTGGAAGGAGGTGTTGCAGAATTTCGTAAATGTCGTCAGAAGTCCCTGCATGTGAACAAGATTCGTACGTTGTCTTTGATATCGCCACTATTATGACACTTCCTAGACCAAACCTGTCCACTTCACGTACACAATTACGAGCAAAACATTCGTTAACACTTCTGTACACACGAAATCGGCCACCATGTTTTTGTAAGAGAAAATGTGATTCATCACTGAAACATATTCGTCTCCAATTCCAGAAGAGGACGTTAGTGCACAAACGAACGCGTTGAAGACGGTGATGACGTCGTAAGATGTAGCCAAAGTAAGGTCTCCTGGCTCTCAATCCAACCTGGCTGAGACGATGACGATTCCGTACAGTCTGAGCGGATATCCTTCATAGTCCTGTCCCGTTGGCAGTTGTATGTTTGGCCGTGACGGTCCGATCACGTAAATGCAGCACCCAGATAATATTGCGTGTTGCAGATTCAAGTCATGGGACCGCCTCCGTGGTCTAGTGGTAGAGCATCCGCCCGGTGAGTCCGGGGTTCGATCCCCGGCCGCGTCATACCAAAAGACCTTCAAAGATGATACTTTTTGTCACCCTGCCTGGCACTCGGCATTAAGGGGCTAAAGCAAGGACTGGTCGGCTCGAAGTCAGTATACTGTGTCTGTGTGGGGTATTTATGTTAAACTGCGGCATGGTATCTCAGTGGGCTAGCACTATAAATCGGCATCAGTCTGGACTAGTACAAGCAGCCTCACACACACACAAACACACACGTGCATGCACGTCGCTATATAAGTGCAATAATCTTGGATGCGACGTTCAACCCAGTTTCACCACCTCACCTTACTTCAAGTCATGGCATAGTTAAGTTCGGTTAACACGGATGACTACCTCGTTACGCGATTTTGAAAGGACTATAAAAAGACTCATTAGTCCGGCCAAAATGTAACTCAGAACTTCCAGCCTTGTTCGGCAAGGGTGGAAACTGGACCTTTATAGTCAGTTAACGCCCTTGCCTCGGAAAGATTGGCATGAACAAACCGATCAACTATTTTGTCATGACCATTCAGATAGCAACTGCCTCGATTGGATAAAGTTAATATGGAACTCAATGCAAGTGAACTCATTTTGAAAAAGAAACATCATTTTCTGATTGAAAGCCAAAGTGACACTTTAGTTGACACAAATTTGCTCTGGCAATTGAAAATATAGTAACCATTTTCTATAATGCTGCAGAATATTCTAAAACAATCTATAAACACTATAAATCTATATAACATAAGTGTGATAGTAGTCAGCCTCCATGGTGGGACTATGATCTGGAAGACATTGCATATCATAGTTCAATGTTCAAAATAAAAGAAATGTAAATCACTGAAACCCATTTGAATATTTGTATTGGCTAATTGATGCGTGGTGTACGAATAGAGTTTATGGATGAATGATGGCTGTTATAACCAAGTAGTAACATTGATTACATTTCATTTATGATAAATAAAAGATAGATATCATTATGACATAACAGGAAGACACAGAAGAGGCTACCCATTAATTTTAAATATGTATATTCATGGGTACCTAAAGGAACTACAATTTTTTATCTTATAAAATAAAAACAATATATTTATATTCAATTTCAATCTGTATAAGGATGATTGTATAAACATCGCCGTGTCTACATCGAGTTTGCTTTAACATGATGAGATGACATTAATTGATAGAGCGCATTCTTAATTCCAATAGACCTTGCTTTTTACGTTTTATTATTATAAACTGATGTTTCAAATTCACACACACAAAAACCAATAATGTTATTCTTTATTCTCTTTACATCAATAGATATCTGCATTTCACAATGTTTATTTATTTGATATCTTTGTATACCTGTGCATGTGAACTAGTATTAGATTACACATGCATGACATTTTAGCAGTCATATTATATGAGTATTTTCTGTTTTATATAAAAACAAATAACATAGATAAATGCATTTAAACATATCTCCATGGAATGATAAAGAGGTTATGATAAAAAATATTTGATTATTTGCTATATCATAATATCTGATAAATATACTTAATACTACAAGTGTCTTAAAGTACTGTTAAATGAAAATCAGGATATATAGCAATAGCCGGATGGTGCATGGGTTGTAAGGAGAATAACTTTTCAACATATTTGTTGCCAAAATAAGAAGATACAACTATCGTTAACATCTATTTACGTGTCATACACATCTTGTGGGGTAGTCAGTATGATTTGTTGTTTGTTGAGACAAA